CCGGGCGGAGACGGCCCCCGGCCACAGCCCCCGGGCAGCGGGCGAGGCAGAGCCCTGCTCCCAGGAAGCCGCGGCGCCCGGGAAGGACGGGGCCGGCCCTTTCTCCGTGCCCCCCACGCTGCTCCCGCCCACGAACTGCTGCATGAGCGGGTGCCACAACTGCGTGTGGCTGGCCTACGTGGAGGAGCTGCTGCAGCACTACCGGGACGGCGGGGAGCGGGCCCTGGCCGCCGTGGAGCGGCACATCCAGGACGAGAACATCAAGGCGGTGCTGAAGTTGGAGATCGGACTCCGCATGAAGAAGGACTGACGCCCTGGTGCCGCCTCGGGGGGCCCCCCTTCTGCCCGCAGGCTCCCCGAGGGTGCCCCTGCCCCAGACGGACTCGGGAGGGGCCCGGGGCTCTGCACACCGGCGAGGTTATTTATTTATTTATCCGCGTGGCTCGGTGCAGATGAGGCGGGAATAAATCCTGACCTGTGCGTGCAGCCTCTCTGCGCTCCCAGTGCCTGGCGCGGCAGGTCCCTGCTCGTGGTCGGGGCGTCTGGGCGCTGCCGCGGTATGTCTTGCCTTGCCTGCGCTAGCTTCGTGTCGAGGCTGGGTGTCCAGTGGGCTGGCAGTTTGGTGCCCTGAGCCCCTGGGGGCCGTGCCTACCTCCAGAGTCCTTGGCGGGCGCCAAGCGTAGAGATTCTTGCATCCGTGAGGCGTGTGCCCCATCTATCCACGTCTGGGCTGCTCTGAGGGTCATGTAAGGCCTCCAGGCAGCCTGCAGTGCCGTGCCCTCGCACGGTCCCTCCCCGTCACGCCAGGCCTGGCCTGGCCCTTCTTTGCGGGCATCCTTGCAACTCGTGTCCCTCCCGGGCTGGCGTTTCGGGTGCTGCAGTTCTTTCCTCCCTGCTTGCTAACCGTCGCTGTGTGGATGCTGCCCGCCTCTGGTGCAGGCTGGAAAGGCCATGCAGAGCCCCGCAGGGGGTCTGAGGGCAGCTGTGAGATGGCTAATGTACTCGTTCCCCAGCCCCCGCCACAGCTTGGGACCTGTCCTGTGAAGCCGGGGTCATTATTGAGCAGCGTTTGGTAGCAGATCTCGGGATGGCCTCGGTAATGAGCAGGGCTGCCGGGACCTCCAGCTCAGCCAGCCCCGCTGCAAACATTCCTGCCCGGGGCTGAGCCTCTCTGCTGTAGTCGAGCTCAGGATAATTAGTGGAGAGGCCTGGAGTTCAATTAAAATGTGCCCAGTTTAGGCCTGTTATAATGGCTTTAGTGCAAGGGGATTAAGGGGAAAGCTCAGAGAAGGCAACCCAGCGGCAGACTGGGAGAGCGTGGGGCACCCAAGCCAGGGCACCCAAGGCACATCCCCAAGGACTCTGAGCCTGGTTAAGAGCTGCTGGGACCTGCAGGACTCGCTGCTGCTTACAGAATTGGGCCCCACACCAGCCACGGTCGGTCAGGAGGAGGCCGCTGCATTGAGGAGCCTGCCAGAGCCCAGATGCTTGGTGATGTCCCTGCTGCTCGAGGTGGCACGGCAGGTAAGGCCCCGGGGGCAAGATACGGGCTGGCATCATGCACCCAGGTCTGTGTGTTGTGGCTCGCACGTGGTTTGCTTTCCTGGGCACATGCTGTCTGTGCTCAGAGCAGCATCCGGTCAGTACCGGGGTGTGGAGGCCACCTCGTGACCAAATAGCCAGGAGCGGGGCTGTGACATGCCAGAAGTGGAGTGGAGCAGGTGTGCTGCATGCCCCTTGCTGTTGGGCCTGCATACAGGGCATTTTGCCCACCTCCCCAGACATCTCTGCCTTGACTTAGCAAGCACCTGGTGACAAGGGAGCCGTGGCCAGGGCAACTGGAGAAGCAGCTGGTGGGGCCCTAATAGCGGTGCGGGTGTGTGGGATGCACGCTGGGGTGCCCTCCCTGTACCCCAGGGGCTGCAAGACCTGGCCCGGGCTCCCCGTCCAAGCAGACTCAATGCAGTCCACTCAGGGTGCCTGGTTGCCAGCGCGGGCAGTTTGCAAGTGAAAGGAGGCTTGGAAATGCCCTGAGCCTGAGGCAAAGCTGAGGCCCTTTAGGGTGGTGTTTTGGCCCGTAAAACCCCCAGTAAAGCAGCCAGCAGCTGGTGTGTGAACACTGTGGCAACCCCCTCTGATGCACATGCACGGCCCCCTCCCCCCGGCCACGCGTATATCATTGCAGAGGACGTCAGATTGCCCCTTTCAAAAAGAAGGGTCATAATCCTATTACGCGGGAGCAGGATAAATCCCTGGGCCCCCTGGACCCATCCAGAGTGTCTATAGGACTCCAGGCCATCGCGGACGGGGAGCGTGGACTGGAGCTCTGGCCCTCCACGAGCTGCTAGCCCTGTGAACCAGCTGCCCAGGGTGAGTACCCCCCTGCGAGGGCAGTGCCCTGAGCGCGGCAGTTCTCCGCTCCCAGCATCTGCTGTCTGTCCGCTCTGGCGGCCCTCGTGTCACCCACCGGTGGGGGCGGCTGTGTTTCCTCCTGGGCACGGGGAGCTAGGACTTGACGCTGGGCTTTAGGGTGAGTTCATCAGGGTGAAGGCATTGGGACTCGGAGGCATAGTGCTGTGGGGGGTGCCTGGTATAGCACGGCAGGAGCTCCCAGGCTGCCTCGGTTCCCATTCCCCTTGCAGAGGGCTGCAGGGTATCAACCTCCCACCACCCCATGTTGCCGCATGGGGCCCTGCACAAAAGCCACCTCGAAATCCCTGGGATGGTGGAAAACTCAGCTGGGCTCTGCCAAGCTGTCACCCGCCTCGGGGCAGCGTGGGGGGGCAGGTGCCCCATTACCAGGGCGGGCAGTAAGGATCCAAACTTCATGTTTCTGCACATTTTCTTTTCAGTTCCCCTGCCCCAGAACCGGTGTTTCCATCTCCAGGGGCGTGGTGGAAGGGGGGCCTGGGAGGGGAGCCCTTGCCAAGGGACAGGTTGGCAGTCAGTGGAGGGTCCCCCAGGCATGTATGGTGGTGGTGGGAGCAGGGGAGATGCCGAGAGATCCCATCCCCTTGGGATTGCCAAGTGCACATTCGTTAGCCTTGCTGGGAAGGGATGTGGGGATCCTCCACCCTGGGGCTGACCCGGCCAGCTGCCTGAGTGCTGCCAGTCCCGAGACACGGGGAAGTGGGAAGCAAAGCCCTGACTTGCAGTGCCTGTAGCCCCCTGGGCTGGAGACGTTGCCCACCTGGGGGTTTAAAGGTGAGAGAGATGCTTGCTGATGCAGATGAGCAGAGCGCCCTTGAGCCAGGAGGCGGGGGGGGCAGCTGACATTGCCCCCAATCCTGACCTGGACGCAGGTCGCAGCGTTCCCGCTGAGATGACGCACACACTGGATGCTAAGCGCGGGGGCCTTGCGGCTCTTCCTGCTGCCACCCAGTGACCTCACGGGCCTGTGCAGGGCATTAGGCACCGTGCGGGCGTCCGACCTGAGCGTAAGAGCCCTGAGGAGCTTAGTGCCTAAAGACACGGGACGGGATCAGTGCAGGGGGGAGGTGGCCTCTGAGCCCTGGGTGTCAGCTTCTGCCCCCAAGGTCACCTTCACCCTGTGCATCCCTGGGCTTAGCAGCTAGCAAGGGGCCTGGCAGGCAGGGAGGGGCAGCATCAGGGGAGAGGGGGTGGCCACGTGGATGGGTGCAGGGTGGAGGCTCGTGGGAGCTGGGGACCAGCACGGGGCCCTGACTGGGAGCTGAGCAGGTAACCGTGCTGGGTTCGGGGCCGTGTGGGAGAAGACCGCGAGGGGGAATTGCAGAGAGCTTGCACCACGGCTGAAACGAGATGGCTCTCGCACCGTCTCGGCCTTCCCCAGGACCCGTTTCGGTGTTAGCGGGGACGCCTTTCCTAACAGGACCCTGTGTCAAGAACGAGGCAACGTTTTGACCTCTGCACGGTTTCCCCTCCCTGTTTCCCAGCTGAGAAGCTGCCCCAAGCTCGCAGCTCCTGGCTGCCTGGAAGGCTCCTCCCTTGCAGACGTGCTGGGGTTTGCACCCAGGATGAGGGTCTTGGCTGGGACAGTTTGGCTCTTCTCCCCTGTGGCAGGTCCCAGGGGGGATGTGGTGCTGTCGGGACAGATGGCAAGACAACGTGTCCCCCCCACCACAGTTGCACCGGGCTGGGGCTGCGTGGAGCCAGCACGTGGCCTGTCCATGCACTGGTGGGGGCAGGCCTGCATTTGGGGCAGGGCAGGGATGGTGGTTGTAGCCCTGGGGGATGGACTCTACCTCGTGCTCTCTGGGCAGCTGCGCCCTGCAGCCTGGCAGCTTATGCTTTCCCTCTCCCTGCGGGTGCCCGCGCTCCCAGGAACTGGGCTGGTTTAGTCTGCAGAAGAGAAGACCGAGGGGGGATTTGATAGCAGCCTTCAGCTCCCTGCAGGGGGGCTGCAAAGGGGCCAGAGCTGGACTGGGCTCAATGGGGGAAGATGACAGAAGGAGCAATGGGCTCAAGTTGCAGCAAGGGAAGTTGAGGTTGGGTATCAGGAGGATAGTAAAGCACTGGAACAAGCTCCGCAGAGAGGTGATGGCATCTCCATCCTCGGAGGTGTTTAAAGCCCAGCTTGATAAAGCCCTGCCTGGGATGATGGAGTAGGGGCTGGTCCTGCTTGGAGCAGGGGGTTGGACTAGACATGACCCCCGAGGTCCTTTCCACCCTCATTTTCTAGGATTCGATGACTCTCACCCAGCTCCCACTCTCTGGCTGCTCATTATGGAAAGGCTTTTCCCTGGGATTGGCTTTAAATCTGCTACTTTCACTGAGCGGTTTCCCCTCGTGCCACACAAGCCGATAAGCGAGGTGACCTCCCGGCATCTTTCTGCTGCCGCCTCCTGGTTGCTCACTCGGCTGCGGGGAAGTCCAGCTGCCCGGGCACCGGGCCGACAGCCCGTGTTGCCGGCCCTCGTGGCAGGGGCAGAGTTGTTTGTGCGCCAGAGCTGGGCTCCCTGCCCAAGGAGGAGAAATGCAGAGGGCAGCGTCGATGTGGGAGGACTGTGTGTTACCTGTTGCACTTTTGAAGTCAGAGGGATGCCAGGCTCGCCCACCCGTGGCTGCAGGGGCAACCGGGAGCACAGGCCCTGGCGCAGCAGAGAGTGAGGCTCTGGTTTGCCCTTGACCTCACGTGGCTCGCAGGTGCTGGCAACAAGCTGGGGTCCATGTGATCCACCACGCACGTGGCCTGGTCTGGTCATGCGGGGCACTTAACACCCCATGCTGGGCAGACCTCCACGTGCTTCTGATCCATTCAGCCCCTTCCCGCTCTCGGGCAGGGTAAAGCAGTCGGAGCCCCTGGGATGCAGCTGCCCCGGGTGCCCGGCGGGCTCTGAACCCTGGCTGGGTGGGCAGGGGGAAGCAGCCGGTATTTGTAAGCGAATGGTTTTGGGGTGGAAGAAGCTTGAGGCCGCAGCCCCAGGTTGGTCCATGGATGCCCTTCAGTGCCTTTGCGGTAATGAGATTAATGGTCTGAGCTGGGCTAATTCCAAGGTTGCAGGCACTTTCCTTCAGCACCTCAGCGGGGGTGGGTCCCCGTCCCACGGCTGGACACGGAGCCTCCAGCGCACGGGCACGGAGGGTCCCGTTACCATGCACTGACGCCAGCACCTGGTCCAAGCGATTCGTGGGCTCCTATTCGGGCTGCATTTCTTAGCATGGCCGTGGGGGTTGGTGCGGGGACCAGAAAGCACAGCTATAGCCAGAGGGCAAACGAGGCTGCTGCATGGCAGGCCCACAGCCCTGCTGCATAAGGACAGATGCCTCATCCATGCCCAGCCTTGCAGCCCCAATGTGGCACTCGGCCCTCTTCTAGCGGGGGGCTGTGGTTGAGCCCACGAAGCCCAGGCTGATCCAGGAGGGCAGCGCGCAGCCCCCATGCAGCGAATTCCCTGTGCCCGCAGGTGTGACCAGCCGAGCTGCATCTGAGGAGAAGCTACAACCTGGAGCCAGGGTGACCACGCCAGCCGTTAACTGCCCGCTGCAGCCATGAGCCTGGAGCCGCCCAAGCCGGAGTACAAGGAGTTCAAATCAGCCACCAGGGTGACTGGCGGGCCAGCCACCCCCAGGAAAGGGCCCCCCAAATTCAAGCAGAGGCAAACCAGGCAGTTCAAGAGCAAACCGCCCAAGAAGGGGGTCCAGGGGTAAGTGTGGGGAGGGGCTCTGTTATAACAGGCGTTTGGGGGACCTTGGGGTGCAGAGCATCCCAGCAGGCAGAGCATGCCAGGACCTGCCAGGCCAGGATGCTTGCCCGGGTTGGCGCCCGAGCCATGCACACCCCTCCCCAGCACAGCCCTGGCAGCCGGGACCCGTTCCTCGCTGCATCACCAAGTGCCCTGCCCTAGCCCCCCGGGGACGAGGGTGCGTGCACAGGGCAAGCCGGAGCAGCAGGGACGCCCAGGGAGAGGTGGCCAGCTCAGGGGTGGGCAGGGCAGCTTGCCATCCCAGGGAGACCCCTGGCAGTGCTCAGGCTCTCTGCCTTGCACCCTCATGGCAGTGCTAGGGGACTCGAGCAGTGGTGTCCGCTGGGCCAGGGCAGGGGTGAGGGAGCTCCCAGGCTGGAGAGATTAATGCATCCCTGTGTTTGCCTGCAGGTTTGGCGACGACATCCCTGGCATGGAAGGACTGGGCACAGGTACCAAGCCGTGGGACCCAGGGACTGTGTGGGAACACGGGAGAGCAGTGCTAGCCTGTGGCAGGCACTGGGCCAACCCCGCTCTCCCTCGAGCCCTGCCGGCACTTGTCAGTCACGGGCAGCAGCGTCCTGTGCTGTCCAGCCCCTCTCCTCTGCTCTGCCTTTGAGCTGGAGGCTGTGGGCACTCCCTGCCTCGTTCCCCACTGCAATACCAGTGTGCCCAGACCCCGTCCCGCCCCTTGACCCCCATGTCTCTGAAAAGGCAAACACTCCTACAGGGCTTTAAAGGGCATGGGGGAGGCACGGGTGCTAGTGTGAGCACCGTGCGTGATGCCCAGGCAGCCTGCAATCCCTCACTGGCATTCTCGTTCCTTCCCTTCCAGATATCACCGTGATCTGCCCCTGGGAAGCCTTCAGTCACCTGGAGCTCCACGAGCTGGCTCAGTACGGCATCATCTAGGCAGCGCTCTGGGCGCAGGGCATGCACCTCTTTCCCCACCCCTGCCATAGATCACGGCCTTGGCTATGTAGGTAGAGGGAGCTGTGTCTGCACTGCAGCCGCGCCGCTGCCGGAGGAGCTAACCCTAGGCTTGTAGCGAACGAGCCCTGTCCCCCAGGCTTGTAGTGATCAGAGCGGCCGGCATTAAACTCAGGACGATCAGTAGGACCCGCCTCGTGTCTGTGTCTCTCTCGCCAGCTCTGCCCTACACTGGACCCCTTAGCACTGGGTTCCCGTGCCATGAGCCCCTTCCACAGGCCTCGCCCTCCAGGCGTTGGAGTTCCCTACCCTCGGCGCCGGTCTTCAGAGCCGGGCCCTCCTGCATACTCAGCTCCCTGGAGCCCAGCACCGTGCAGGCTGGACCCAGGCACTCCCTGTGGGCATCAGGGCAGCTCGAGAGGCAGGTTTATGGTGTGGCCTGTGGGCATCAGGGCAGCTCGAGAGGCAGGGTTATGGTGTCTTGCTGCTTGCCAGAAGCCACTTCAGGACAGAAATTATCCCCTCACCCCACCTGTGTCCCAAGTTAACCCCCTTTCTGCACAGAACCGGTCCCCTCTGAGGCTGCTTCCCTGGCACCTCCCATCTCTGAGCATGTCTCGAGCTCTGGGCGGGCAGCAATGCTTGAATGCAGCCAGCTCTAGGGAAGGAGAGAAATGCCCCTTGCCCTGCTGCAGCCAGCTGCTGGGCTCTCTAATGCAAGGGTGCTGGGTATAATTTAAGCCCGTGCCTTTTAGGAGAACAAAAGGGGCTGGGAGGGTGAGTGCTTGGAGCTGTGGTTCTGGAAAAGTTATTTGCACCTGGGGGAAAGAAGGGAAGAGCAGCTTAGCTCTGTGCATAAGCAGTACACCTGGTCCATAGACAACCAGTGGCTGGAGCAGTCCTGGACTCAAAGCCCAACAGCCTGGGCATGCCTGAGCTGGGGGTCATTGCCAGGACCCTGCAGTGCCTTTCTGGGTAAACATGACCTCGCTGGCGGTTGCACCAGGGCAGGGCTGAGTGTCTGGGGGTAAAGTGCTACAGCATCAGCTTCTCCATAGAGTCTGGCCCTGCTCACAACAGCTTGCTTTGAGGCCTGAGACAGGAGCCAGGCCATCAGCAGAGCTGGTGCATTTGGGACTGCTCTTGGGGGCCCCAGACAGCAGGGCAAAAGGGAGACCCTCCCCACCAGACCATGTTGTGGCCAGGGAATGAGAGAGTCAGCCCCACCCTCCCGCTGGAGGCAGCACAGCTGTTCCCTCAAACAGGGGAAGCCTCACCCCTTGGGCATTTAGGCACCCCCATCCGCCAGCTATGCTCCTTCAGCCAGGGTGCTGGGGTACTGCCATCCCACATGCTGCCAAGGGCATAGAGGGACAGGGCATCTCCTTTTGCAAGGAAGCTCAGACTCTGGAAGAAAGGAGTTCATCCCAGCAGGCAGAGCCCAGCTCCCAGCACCACTGCTGCAAGGACCCAGGGTAAGTGGAGTCAGGGAAAATGAGAAAGCACCCCCCACCAGACAGCACGAGTCCTTGAATCAGTCCATAGGTTTATTCAGAAAGCGGAGGAGCTGTGCAAGCAGAGCAAAGCCCCCTTCCACACAACAGGCTAAAAGGCCATTCTCTGCAATTATCCAGAGAGAAGGGCTCGTACCCCAGAGCATTCGGGGTAGGTAAGGCTTGAAGATCCTCAGGTTCAGCGTCAGCTTGTGCAGAGCTAGTCAAGTTCCCATCTCCCCCGTGAGTCCGGGGTCTGGGCTCGTGCCGCGGGTTGTCTGGATCGCCGCATGAGCGAGAGCCACGTCCACCAGCAGTTTGGTGGCCAGCAACAAGCTTCCAACCTCTACGGCCAGCAGGCAGGCGAAGTAGGATCCGATCACCCCCACGTGGCTGTTGAGCCACCGTGTCACCTGGGGCAGGCAGCCCCCAAGGGAGATGGTGCCTGCAGCCACGGAGGCCGCTGTGCCCAGGGTCCCGAAGCCACACTGCGAGTTGGCAATGGTCCCGTTTCCCAGAGGCTCCAGGCAGCAGGAAGCTGGAACGCCACAGGCTTGGACGCCGGGAGAGCTGCAGTTAAAATACCTAGGATGGGACGAGGTGGGTTGGAGAGGGTCCACTCAAGCTGCAGCAATCCTAGCAGTAAAGCCTTCCCTCCCCACAGCACTGGACTAGGAGCCCAGGGGCATGGTAGGCAGCTGCAAAGACTCCTGTACAATCCATGCAACAGCAGCTTGCCCAGCTGCAACACGCTCCATGCTAGCCGAACCCCATACAGGTGGCTTTCCCAAAGCCAAGTCATTTCAGGCTTCACAGCAGCCACTCAGCAACCCAAAAGAGCCCTCCCCAGGCCTGCTACTCACAGGTTGGTCTCCCAATCCCGGTAGGACTCCACCCCACAGCACTGCAAGCCCGTCTGGATTTCATCCATGAGGAACCGCAGGTCCAGGTCGTCCTGATATCGCAGCACGGCCAGCAACATGGTGTCCCGCAGCGAGTCCTTGATCCGGTGCCTCAGGGCGTACAGCAGCAGCCCGCCCAGGAGCTCCATGGCCATGAAGGTGAGGACGCCCCCAGTGAAGAACTTGAGGAGGCAGACGTTGGCGTAGAGGGCCCCCGCGCAGCCCGCCAGGGACAGCGTGCTGACCGCCAGCCCCACTAGGGCCAGGAAGAGCATGGGGTCCGTGCCCAGGAGCCCGACGCGCTCGCCCAGCAGCGACTCCTTGTCCAGGAGCCCCCAGACCCCGACCGCCAGGGTCAGCAAGCCCAGGATGGAGAACAGGAGGTTCCAGCTGAAGGCCACGTACCGGACGCAGGAGCTCCAGGTGCCCAGGGGTGGCTCGAGACGCTGCCATTTCCCCAGGCACGCGTCGTCGGTGTCTGGGTCTTCAGCGGAGAAGGACAGGACATCGCGGAGGTGGGACACGGGGAACAGCCTGCCCAGCCCGGGGCTCTGATGGGATGGAGAGAGAGCAAACAAGTCAGTTGGCTTCACCCAGAGCAGACCCCCACCTTGCAGAAGCCCTGGCCCCGGGGGCTTGGCACGAGCAGCTCTGGTCCCAGGAAGATGCCAAACCAAACCCATCATCGGGCAGGATGCCAAAAGCAGCCAGCCCTTGGGGAGACCTCACAGGGCTTTGGGGCTCAGTTTAAAGTGGAGCTCCCAGACCATGGGGTTGGCCCCTGACCCAGCATCCAGGTAGATGCAGGGGTGGAGGACCCGTGTCCTGCCCCGCACCATGTGGATGATAGGGGATGGGGAAGTTGGGAATGAGCAATGGTTCCTATGGCTGGAAGCCCCAGGTCCTGGTTCTGCAGCAGCCCATCCCGCCGGTCCTACACCCCGCAGCCCAGCACCCTCCGAAGCCGAGGCCCATGCCACAGACCCAGCAGAACTGGGGGTGGGAGGGCATGGAGGGGCCCGAGCAGAGATCAGAGGTGCCTAGGGCAAGAAATGCCCCATCTATGCCCTGCTGGAGAGCACCAGGCTGCCATGCACAGACAGCTCAGGGTACAGGATCCCTGTAAAAATCAAGCCAAGAGGGGCTGCCCTCCCAGAGAAAGCTGCCTTCCTTTAGATGCCTCTGGCTCAGGCCGTGCTCCCCAAAGGGAGTGGATCTTCAGCTGCTTGGCCATTAGTCCTGGTTTTACCCCATTGCACAGGTCCATCAGGGATTACACCTGCCTTACCCAGCACTGATGACATGGCACTGGTACCCAGGGTGCATGCCTTCCCATCACTAGGCCCTTCTCCCTAAAAAGAAGCACAGAAGCTTTTCCCAGCTAGCCAGAGCAGCGTGGGCATGCAGAGCCCAGCTCAGGAGCTGGGGACAGGACTTAAAGCCTCCCCCAGTCCCCAAAGCCTCCGGATGAGGTTAGTTGCTAGACAATTAGCAGAGGGAGCCAGCACAGGCAGGAAAGTCGTTGTGCCCTTGATTGAGAGCAGGGCTCATGGCTGCAGGGCTCGTGAGAGTTTGAGCCTTACAGCCAGGGCTGGAGGGTCTTATCTGGCTTCAGGGGAATTGGGTCTGATCGGCACCCTCGGGACGGGGAGGAGAAGACGGGTGCTAGGCGTGCAATCACTCCTCGGAGTATTTGCAGCTTTCCCACCTCCCAGGTAGAGAGCAACCCCCAAATCCACCCAAGGGCATCCAGATGCACAAAGCAGCCCCTGGAGAAGCATTAAGCCAGCATCTCTCCAGCCAGCCTGTAGCACAGGCCTAGCATTTACCTTGGGTAGCAAGCAGCTGCTCTCATCCTCTTCCACCGTCACCTCCCCAAGGGAAACCTCCTGCTCACTGGTGCCAGGGCGCCCAAAGAGCCTGCCTCGCATTGCTTCCAGCCTGTGCTTGAATTTCATCCTGCTGCTTTTTTCCCAGGCCTGGTCAGCAAGAAGCCTGCACAAGCAACGGGGTGGGAGCAGAGGCAGGGGAGCCCCGGGGCTGAGCAGATATCTCAGTCATGCTGGAATCATGTGAGAAGTCACATTTCATGGTTTAAATAGGCCCCAGCACCTCTGGACCAATTCTGGCTCCTCCGCACCTGGGCGTAGTTCAGGGCTATCTGCCTAAATGGCTGCAAAGAGAAAGGGAGCCCTGGTGTGCGGTGGTTTCTAATTAGCCATCCCCAGGGGCTGCTCACAGTTCGAGCTGTACCCCACCGCCCCCGAAATCTGCTCCCGCAGCTTAGCCCTGCTTTGGGTTTCCCTTGTGGCTGTGGGTAAACATTTTTTAAAGGGCCTAGGTGATTTAGGAACCCATTTCCAAAAGCAGAGCTCCCGGGGCAATTTTCAAAGGTGTGAACAGCAGGCAGACCCTCTGCCAGGTGAAGGGGATACGTAAGAAATGCCATGCTGGGGCATATATGGGATATAAATAACAATGATGGGGGTCAGGTCTCTAATTCCCTCGAGCTCCTTTGAAGATCCGCACTCTTGCCTTCTCGGAGTAATAGTTCGGCCATGACAGAGCCCGATTCCCAGCTTCGAAGTGCCAGGGATCACGTACCATTGGCTCTCGGTAAGATTTAAGCCAGGCATTTCTGGAAGCGGGACTTAGGCTCCTGTATCATTTAGGAGCTTCTGGAAATGCTGCCCTGGGTCTTCCCGAGCACCAGCGTAGAGACAACCCCAATTAAAGTGTCTCGTGGAGGCTTCAGTTTTCTCCTCCTTCAGTCGGAGCCCGTTGCAGAACTGGGTGCCCAAAGCCGTGGTCTCCGTGCTGCTCTGTGTCCATCAGGGTCTTGGCTCTGTTATCCTCAGTCCTCCTTTATTTGGCGTAGGTGGCTTTTCTGGGCCCCTCCTCTTTGCATGATACCTGCTTCATCTGCAGCAGCTCCTCAGCCGTACAGCCTCCATCCGCCTTCCCCCCGTGTCCATGCCGGTCAATATGCTCCTAGGGTTGTTATTTGGGAGACTGCTCATAGTTCCTCCTTCCATGCCACATCCAGCTGCCTCTTAGCGTGCACATTGCACAGGCGTTTAATTTTTAATCCGGTTTCATCTTTTTCTGTTAACACCCTGTATTGGGAGCTATTAGCTACGTGCAGGCCTTCTCGCTGCTGCTCCTTCACCTTGCATGGCACCCCTCGTCCGGCAGACGTTCCCTACGCGGGTGCCGTGCCTTGCTTCATACAATTCCTCCTGCTCGCACAAATCCACACGTCCTCCTGCCTGCACATCGACCCAGGAGGATGGGTTGATGCTGAGGGAACTTGCTAGCTAGGGGAAACATTATCGCTTCAGCTAGCCGCTATTGCAGATCAGCAGGGAGAAGGGTGATGTCCTCTGTGCTCCTTGCCTGCTCCCCCTTTCATGGATGACCATGGGGGCTCATCAGGCTGCTGAGCACTAGGTTCACAACCGCGGCTTGGGAGTGGCGACACTGACGTGGCCCAAGGGACTTGGGGACTGTGCCGTTGGCACCAGGGGAAGCTGAGAACTTGCAAAAAGCTTCTACCCGGCGTGACGGGTGGGAGACCATCCCAGGCTTCGCTAGCTTGTTGGCTGATGGAGAAGTCAGCGGCTTATCAAGGGCATTTTGGTGCAACGGTGACACTTTTGGCCCGAGTGTGCAACCCACGTGCTGCTAAAAGAGCACGCGGGTTGCAAAAAGAGTCGGGTCCCATGGATCATCTGCCCTGTGGCGCTTGCTTGGCAGAACTGGACGAGAGAAGAATCTCTTTGTTTGGGTTTTGGCCTCTAAACCAAGCCCCTTTCCCCTCTCCTGCGCACGTCCCCTTCGTTACTGGCAGAGGTATAATTGGCGGGGATGCTGGAGACCGTGATCCTGAGCTGGGGCAGGCTGCAGAGTGCCGAACCGATCTGCTCCGGGTTTGATGTGAGAAGACAGTGGGTCAGGGCTAAGCAGGGCTGCAGGTAGGGTGGCCATCGTAGAGGATGGTCCGGTTGTCCTATTTTGAGAGCAAAATAGAGGACATAAAGGCGCCGGGTTTCATATCAATAGAGGACAGAGTAGCAAAAAAACGGACTGTCCTCTATGATGGCCACCCTAGCTGCAGGACAGATTCAAAGGGTCAGGTCACGCATATGCATTTTTGGACACGGGTAACTGGGTTTCTCTGGACATTTTGAGCCATTTTGAACAGTGAGGGAGGGTGCTGGCATGTTTTATGCAATAAGAGAAGCAGGCTTAGTGACCCTTCTCGCACCTGCACTGAATCCGGACATGCCCAGGGGGTCAGGGGTACGGATCGAGGCCTTGGCATGGGTGTACGAAGCCTTTGCAAGCCCCAGAGAGTTCAGTCAGTGCCTCCTTTACATGCATTTGTCCACCACTGCTACAAAGCCTGAGCGTTGCCCGCGGCTGCCCTACAGAGACGTGGCCTGACAGACAGACGTGGGTAGGGTTGCCAGCTCGGCTTGAAGCTATCCCGGGAGGTTTCTGCAATGCCAACGTGCCCACGACACACGGCGCCAGCGTGCCCGTGTGCTTGCATGCAGCGGGTATGCATTACGGTGTGTGGACTTGACATCAGGAAGCCAAATGCAGATGACTATTACACTTAAAAAAACCCACTGGACTGCCGAACAAATCAGATTCAACATTCAACATTTAATATTTGTTTTAATGAATGCCCTATCATCGACCACCGGGTGGGTGATCTACTCTGCACGATGCAGCTTTCAGAAATTGCAGGGTTTTTCTTTAAACAACTGTGTTTTAGTAAGGTTTTTCTCTCGCCCGGCTGTTGAGTTGCAAAATGGGTTGACTTAATTCCAAGCCAGCTAAAGATTTGTCTTCCTCCTGTTGCCATATCCTTGCATTTTGCATTCACAGCTTTGCTGCCTTGTGCTCCTGGTGCGTTGTGCCGAGTCTCCTGCAGATTCATATCCAATTCCTGGAGGCTCCAGGGCTGTTCTGGAGGGCTGCCCTGTGCGGACATGGCCTGGCACGTGGGGCTTCTGAATTCACCGGGGCAAGGCAAGGGGGTCAAGCCCGGGGGGTGGTGTGGTCTGTGATGTGCAGGGATTCAGGTTTTCTCTGATTTTAAAAAATCCCCAATTTTCAGATTAAAAAAAGGAACTCAAAATCCACATTTTCTCGTGATTAAAATGAAACACCGCTATACATATTTCTATATGCGAGTCTGGTATCCAGGTTGTAGCCGTATTGGTCTAGAGGAAAAAAAGCAATCCAGACTCGTAGTAGAGGTGATCTCTTTTATTGGACCGCCGAGATTTTTGCAAAAAACAAAAGTCTTTAATTGCAAACTGTCTTGAATTGCACGCTTTCCTTGCAAGCGCAGGTGTTCGGGGACTTGCAAAGAAAGCGTGCAATTCAAGACTTCTTTATTTTTTTTGTGCAAAAAGCTAATAAAAGATACCACCTCTACCGTGAGTCCGGCTTGTGTATATATGAGTGATGTTTCATTTTCAGTCACGGGGAAAGGTGTGGATTTCAGGTTGCTTGTTTTTAATATGAAAATCTCGGATTTTTTTTTTTTTTTTTTTAATTGGAGAAAAACCGCTTGCCGCAGGGGCGGAGGCCAGCGTGCATTGCCCAATGTGTTGTAGCCCACAAATTCAGGGGGACGACCGGCCAGAGCCAGGTCCTCCCTGACCCCCGCCCGCCTCCATCCCCCGGGGAGGGCAGCTTAGAAGCGTAGGAACAGGAAAGCGGCGGAACCCCCGTGCGGCGAGGGGACGGGTTTACGTGCTGCACCGCAAGGGGGCGGGGGATAGCGGGTGGCAACGGACCCTTCCGGTTCGCACCGGAAGCCGGAAGCGCGGTGCTGGGGAGCGGGGCCGGAACCGTTTGGACCCGGAACCTTGGTGCCGGCCGGGGGGGCCGGGGGCGCGGGACCCGCCATGGCCGAGACCATCGTGAGTGCGGGTTGGGGGGGATGAGGCAGCAGATTCGTCGGGGGGGAGGGGCCTGCTTCCGCCCCTACCTGTTGGGCTGACCTTTGGGGGTCACCCCCAGCCGTCGGGGTCAGAGGTCACGGGTCAGACTGTCCAAGCCCTTCCCCCCCCCATTCAAAATTCGGGGCACTCTGCCGTGCCCGGGGGTCCCCGAGGGTCCCTGTGGCGGGGGCAGCCTCCTGCCTCCCCAGGGCTGGAGGGCCGAAACCCCCCAGCGGGGCCCGGTCCCTCAGCCTGTCCTCGTCGGTGTTGCCGCGTCCGGCTCCGATCGTGCGTGTGGCTCTTAGGACTCTCGACCTCGCGTGCGTCCGTGTTGGGCTGGACGCGGCCCTTCAGCTGCGGTCTCGCCGGCGCGGAAGAGTCGCCTCCTCGGCTCGGCTGGAGATGCCTCATTTAGGAAGTTTACCTGCCTGGGGCTTGTGGCTCCCTGCTGCCTGGCCGGGAACGTGTTGCTTCCAGCCCCTTACGATGGATGGATGAATCTGGACCCTGAGGATCATCTGCCCTTGGCAGAGCTGAAGAACGCCTTCAGCTGGGGTTGGCCCCTAAACCGAGCCCCGTTCCCCTCTCCTGCACACTCCCGTTCGTTCAGGTCAGCCGTGGAGATGCGATCCTGAGCTGGAGGCGGCTGGAGCAGGCTCCAGAGAGCCGAGCCAAGCCAGCCTGTGGTTGATGGGAGAAGACGGTGAGTCAGGGATTTAGCAGCGTGGCTCCATGCTGCCTGCCCGCGCCCTGGGGTGAAATACCCAGCTGTCAGAGCTGCTAGCTGGAGCCGGGCGGCTCTGGGAATCGGGCAGAGTCAGCACGCTGTTTGCCAGGGATCGGGAGAAGGTTCCAGGGTGTTCGTCGCTCCCATTAGCTCGTCGGATAGTCCCAGGGCTCCCTGGAAGCAGGACTGTTTCAACACAGCTTCTTCGTCTCAGCTACAAATGCAGAGCAGGGCTCTCCCCGCTGAGAGCGCGGGGTGCGCCTGGTGCCTGCCTGTGCTTAGAAATATCAGAGCGAGGCGGGGTCGTCCCTGCAGCCCGTGGGTTGCACCTGAACGTGATGTTGATGAGGCTGGTCCCTACCTGCATTGTGCAATCTGCTCTAAGGGAAGGACCAAGAGAAAGGCCAAGGCTTCCTGTTTCTAGTGTGCTGCTTTCACTCGCTTTGCACATCCATGCCCTGACAGCCTCCATGTTGTGTCACCTGCTGCCCTGGACATCTGGAGTGACTCCTGTCTGCTTGTGCTCCTGCTGCTTGGGGTTGCAGCACCTCCAAGGTGCTGTCGGAGCCTTTGCCACTTTCTCGCTTCCAGGGAGCGAGAGAGATGCCGACAAATATGCCGTGGGTCCCCAGCCAGGCTGCCTTTATGGGAAGAATCGCCTTTGGCTTCTCCTCCCTAAGGCAGCTGCCTTCACTGCTCGTCTTTCCCATCTCAGCTAAAGGCTTGTCATGGAAAACCTATTAAGCATTTTGCTTTATGTCTGACCATAATGCCTTAGGTCTCAGTGACTTGATTCTCCTGATCTTTTTATTGGCAGTAGACGCCGACTATCAGTAAGGCAGTGATGTTGAAAGTGCCCATTAGTCCTGTGCCCAAGTGAAGCTGGTCTCTCAGGACAAGAACTGGGCTTTGAATATATTGTTTCCTAGAAGCTTTGAAGCATCCTTGAGGATTCAAAGCACCCAGAGGAACGAACTTCCATCTTCAGCTTCGCCTGTGCAAAACTGAAGTTTATTTTCTACCTATAAGGAGTTTTTACCCGCTTGAATTTTCCCTGAACCTAAGGAAGGGCGTGTGTGCCTGAAAGCTTGCAGAAAAAGATATTTTTTTGCGATTTCTTAGTTGGCCTAATAAAAGGTGTCATCCCTGAACCAAGAGTTCTAGAGTTTTGCATTTCTTTTTGTCTCAGGCCAACACGGCTACCAAATACATCCTTGAATCATCCTCTGAATTTTTTGTTTCATTTCATAGTTCGGTTTGGCTGCTTCCTCAGAGATCTTCCCTGCCCCTTAGCTTTTATTAGCCTTGGTTTTAAAAAGCCTCACAAATTAGGGCGATTCAGTTAGCACATAATATGGGAGTCTTGTTTCGCACACTGCAGATACAGTGGATCAACTCTTTCTTGTAATCCTGTAATCTCGTCTACAGACTGACTTTAATGAGAGAGAAAGGGTATGGCCGCCCAAGAGGCCATCCTGCTCCTGGCTCTGCCTTTCAAGTCATTAAAAGCTAGGAACTTTTTGCTTAGAAGCAAAATCAAGGCAGCCAGTGGCATTACATGGTGTAATTGTAGACTCTCCTTTCTCGTTCTCGACAGATAATCCGTGTCCAGTCGCCAGAAGGAGTGAAGCGCATCACAGCCACTAAGCGAGAAACAGTCAGCACATTTCTGAAAAAGGTACCTGGGCTTTCAGCCCTTTGTTACTTCCATGCGACTCCCTGCTCTCCACTGAGAATAGCCCAGCTCAGACATCAGGCTGGGACCCTGATGTTTGGTGTTTTCTGGGGTGTACCTTGTTCTTCACAGAGGCCTTCTCTAATGGATAATGTATTTGGGGTAGGTGGCTGGGTGGATCAGCATGCTTCAGGTAAAACAATCTCGCTGCTGACTGAAACTGACACCAGCCCCCTGTTATAAATCCCAGTTTGACACCCCCCCCCTCTAATTTATGTTAACGAATTCAAGTGCTCTGTCTGATCCTTCCCAGGTGTCATGTTTCTGCCCGAGGAGAACTTTGTTTCTAAAGTTCTGGTGAGGAAGTGACTGCAAAGGTGTTTGAGATATGAGAGCTTAAAAAAAATCAGTTATTTTCCATTGCTTGGAAATGAGGTTGAGTAAGGATGAGCAACGTGGTTTTAAAAAACCATGGGCTGGACTTTTCTGTTGAAGAGAACATGATGGATCAGTCTTGGCCTAGAATCTCCATCATTTGCTTTATGCAGTTGTCCCCTGCAAAGACCAAGACCTCTACTGTACTTGCTTTTGTATGGATGAGAGAGGGTGGGGTATCATGCAGGGTTTTGCTAGCTTAAGGTTTTCTGCTTGCTCTGATGCAAACATGGCAAGGCTCTCCCAGGCTTTGTGGGTCTGCATTTCAGTGCTTCAGCGTTGGAAGGTTTTTACTCTGCATGATGCAGCTTTCAGAAATTGCAGGGTTTTTCTTTAAACAACAGTGTTTTAGTAAGATTTTTCTCTCATCCAGCTATTGAGTTGCAAAATGGATTGACTTAATTTCAAGCCAGCTAAAGATTTGTCTTTTACTGTTGCCATATTCTTGCATTTTGCATTCACAGCTTTGCTGCCTTGTGCTCCTGGTGCATTGTGCTGAGTGCGCTTGAGTGCCACTCTGGCCATTAGGTCTGGCCTGTGGGTTGTAATTGGATGCTGGGGGAACCTCAGCAGCATTGCTGCAGCATGCCTGCCCAGAGCAGAACCAGGAGCAAGCCCTGCTGTGCTTGGGCAGGCTTAGAAGAAAAACCCCTCCCCAAATCTCCACGCCATTGACATGGTCTTGCTTTTCTTTCCTTTTGTCACTCAAGAAGCACATGGGTAGGGGCATGCAACTCCTGCATGACCCTGATTCAGCCACATCATGGCTGAATACGGTCAAGGAAAGATTGTAAAGCAATTTTGTGAGCCAGGTGTGGGGCAGACTGGTGGGGGGACCTCCATCATGAAATGGCATGAGCATGTTGAGTTAATTCTATGCTGGGTGTCTGTCGATCCTTGTGTGATACAGCTGGCTAGCATTTCACGTTCATCATGTGAGAACAAGTAGGAGTCTCAGTTTGTGCATCGCCTATGACTTTTTGTGCTAGTCTTCACCTGCTGGGAATGTGGAAATGCCCTGGAATCTTCAAGTGCCGTGTTTCTACGTTAGCAAGGCTGTGTTGCGGCATATTAGATCAGTCCCTTCCAGCTGTCTAGATCTCATTTTACCTCGTGAGGGCAGTCTGCTCTTTGTATTCATCTGCGGGTCCCTTTGGCAGGGTTACCTATGTCACTTCCTTGCTGTCTTAAGCATGTATTTTCACAAAAACGACAAGGGAGAGAATTAGTTAATAAAAATAGTGGAGGGATACACAAATGACTCGGGTTCCTGGGAGCTGGGGTAGCACCCAAAGATATTTCTCAATGAATTTTCACATCGGCTAGATCTTAAAAAGATACAATCCCCGCCCCGGAAACAAATGAGTGTAAGGTTGGCCTGAAGCCAGCACTGTAAGGGTAAAAGATAAGTAGGTTTGAACTGAGCCATTTAAGGGATGAGAAGAAAATTGTCTGGTGAACTGAAGGCAGAGACTATTGCAAGCATGAGGCCCACCATGAAAAAAGGCACAGCCAGAAATGGTGATAAATTGCAAGCATAAATTGAGCACAAGGGTCTCCAGAGGGGAAGAGAATCAGCAAAGCAGGGTTGAAGTGGGTTGGAGATGGGTGAAGGATGACTTGGTGGAGCAGTATTGGAGAACCTCAAGGTAGTGAATAGTAACAACTGATATACCCCTGCGGCATGGGACAGACGCCTGACCTTGTATTATGTGCCCATGTTTCATTTATTTTGGTCATCCTCTTTATGAGCAATGCTCCTCCCTTGGTAACTGCTTCCTTGCGAATCCCTGGGGTTGTGGCTCGCATTCTTCAGCTGCCTCATCATCTCATGGATGCCAAGGGAGGATGAGTTCATCCAGCCTTCTGTAGTAAAACTATTCTGGGCCTTGGGTATGTTTTCCCAACAGGTGCATGTAGGTGAGTGCTCTAACTCACTCATTCTCTCTGTTTTCTAGGTTGCCAAAGAATTTGGCTTCAGGAATAATGGCTTCTCCATATACACCAACAGAAACCGGACCGGAGAGATCACAGCATCACAAAACAAGTCCCTGAACCTACTGAAAATCAAGTGAGTATTTGCCAGAGATCACAAGGAATGAGGAGGAAGTGACATGCGGAGGGGTGTTCCTGGGACCCGCGAGGATTCAGCTGGCTCTCTCGGGCCCCTGCCCACTGACAAGACAGATGGATGTGTTTGCAGAATTGTGGGCTAATCAAAGTAGCCCACGGTAGCCTGGGTCCCGAGGGTGCATGGTGCTGCCCATTGCTGTAGTTAAACTAGAACAGACTTTTTTGCTCCCATGTTGCCAACAGGGAGTGACCTCATTTTCTTTTCTGCCCACACTCTATTTGCTTCAGTGATGCTGAACTAACTTGCTGATTCAGGATGAGCTAAAGCCCCAGTCCCCTGCAGCCAGATATCACTAGAATGCTTCTCTCACCCTTGCCTAGTGAGTGGCATGTTGGAAAAAGGTACCATAGGCAACAGGTTCACAAGCATAACTTTGTACATGGCTGCGGGTGCCCTTTCTACAGCTGTCTGAGAGGGCGAGGTGGAAAATGCTAAAAATACCAGAGCTGCTTTTGCTGGAGACAGTCCCCCTGCTGTCAGACCCACCTCTGGAAACTGTGACTGCAAGTACGAGCAGCCTCCTTATTAGCTGTGTGCTGAACCTGTTGTTTCTCTCCCCTTGTTTTTTGGGGGGGTTGTGTTCTACTCAGAGGTGCCTTTTTATTTTCGCTAATGTTAAGAGATGCCGTACAGCACCAGCATGTGAGATTGTAAGCACTGCTGTTTCTTAGTGAACAGCACAGCAGAAGTAACTAGCTAGCCAGGACCATGGTTTTGGAGAGGAGTCATTAGTTTTTTTTCTTTAATTTGGCTCAGACCAAAGCAGGACCTGAATTCGTCTCGGGGTGAAGTACCACAACCCAAAGGACTTGCTGTGGGTCTGTCTATCCCAGGTACTTCAGAGACAGCTGCATCAGATCACTGCCAGCTGTTTGCTGTGGCTTTGTGCCTCTTTTCCAATCAGCTGCAAGGGGCCACCCTTCGAAATAAAAGCCACAGCAAAGTGCTGAGCAGCTCATCCATCACTCAGCAGCCTGCTGTGAATGGCCCAGACATGAGCAATCCAGATTCAGTTGTACCCCGCCTTTTGATCACAACCTCTTCCAGGCTTTGAGTGTTGGTGCCCAGGCATCTGTACAAAGTACATGTGAATGTAGGCAGAACAGTATCAGGGAGCTAGGCAAGTAATGCATTTTATTTGCTGCTCAAACTGTCTGTGCAGGAGATGGGGCACATCCCAAACCAGTGCTTTTGTGTCGCTTTTTCCCTCCCACATCTAGACATGGCGATATGTTGTTCCTCTACCCCTCGAGTCCTGCCGGCTCTTCCTCAGAGAACATGGACATCTCTATCTCCCAAGGGTTGCGCCCCACGGGTGCTCCTCAAGTGGTGGAAGATGAGATCGACCAGTACCTGATCAAGCAGGATGGGAAGATTTATAGGAATCGGGACCAGCAGCTGTAAGTACCGTTGGACTTTCTAACTGGTTTCCAAGGTCAGCCTTGTGCCTGGTGCTTCGCACTGTGTGAAAATAAGTATGCAGTGCAAAACATAGCCAGCAAACCTGATAAGCAAACTGCCTTCTGAGCCAGCACCCTGCCCCTCTATATGCACGTGCGGTCCCTGCCTGGGTCCCGGTTGATTTAACTCTGGCCCTGGCAAACCAAAGGACAAAACTGTTTCCAAACCTGAAAGGCCTTTTGCCAAGGAGGACCTGCTAACATCCCCCCCTGCTCTAAATCAAGATGGCTTCAGGCATGTCCCTGCTTTCCGCTTTGCCCGTACCTGTGACCACATGCTCCCAAAGCACTTAGGGCTTTGTAGGTGAGGGGGTATGTCAAATATTCCCTTTAGAGACCCATTAGCAACTGATGCACAGCATAGACTGCTGCCTGTGGCAGCCTAGTGCTTACAAAGGAGGGGGCTGCATTCTGCCCTAGCGACGATTTCCACATGGTCTCAACCTGTAGCTCCATGCTGCGCCTGTTGTTCCCATCTCAGGGTGACAGGCGAGGGTTGCATACCACGGGAAGGGCACTGGGGGAAAAGGCTTTGTCAGTGAGGGCTGTCCTTGGGCCTTCCACGAGCAATTGAAGCTCCTCACTTCACATCCTAAAGCTCTGCCCTCCATTAGAGATATTAACTTAAACCTTACCAGCGCTTCTGGGGTCCCCCACAGACAGTGCTCTGACTGTCTCTCCACAGTAGTTCCTTGACATAGTATCCTAAGGGGTCAGAGAGCAAACATGTGACGTGTGAGCTCCAGGCCCAGCAGGCAGTAAGAAGCCCAGGGGGCAGAGGAAATGCTCTCTAGTGGCTAGTAGGATCTATACCTAGCTCACTTCTGGCTCTCTATTGTCTTGGGCCTCAGTTTCCCCTTCTATAAAGGGAAGCTACTTGCTTAGTTTGTGAGGTGTGGCTTTCCCTGAGAGCCTTTGCTGGGAGGGGTGCTTGCTGAGCTGTTCTATTCCTGTAGGAGTAATAAATATTGCATTGAAATAGGTGCTAATTAAAGCCAAATGAACAAGAAGTCTTAGGTCTCAGTGGCTACTCCTGTCATGCATTACTTGCTGGAGAAAGTACATGCAGCTGTGACTTCAACGCCTGCCCTCAGCCTCACAGCTCCATCCCCGCAAGAGAAGTCGCTTCACAAAGATGTTGAGCAAAAGCCAAAGCCAGATAGGGAATTTTTTAAAGGTGGAAGCCTTGCCCTGTCCTCTTGTCTCTGTGGGCTTTATCTCTAGTGCCACAGCCGAAAGGGAGATGGGAAAGGCTTAGCTTTTGAATGGAGAATGCTCCCTAAGCTTCCCGAGCAGCGATAAATGAGGGAAATGTCAGGTCATTATTGACACAACAAAGGCAAAACTCTCTCCGGTAAAGCAGCATCTTTAGCTTGACCACACATTTCCTGAAGAACAAACAAAGGTATTGTTCTTAGTGAGGAGGCAGTGCTAACTCTAGGTAGTTGTGAGAAAAAGCTCCTGCTTAGGATTTTGCCCATATTTGTGGCTGCCTATCAATCCAAGCGTGATGGGCTGCTGGCATTCTGCTGAGTGCATTAGCGGCCTTTTATGTACATTATCTGCCACAATGCCTTGTTAAAAGCAGCGCTGCAACTGGCTCCCATCCATATCTTCCTTGTGAGAGCCAGTAACTGCATTCATCTGCAGAGACTTTCTCTGAATATCCAGCACTGCCCAGTTGTTCTTATTGCTGTTGTACCGCTCCTCTTTCTTTTAGAAGGTCACCTCGAAAGGGGACTTTTCCCCCTTTTTGTTTTGTCTTCAGTCCAACAAGACTTTGCCAGTCAGATAAGCAGGTTTCTCTCTGTGTTCCTCGACCCTCCACGAGCAGCTGATTTAAAAAAAAAAAAAAAAAAAAAAAAGCATGTGTGTGGGGTTTTGTTTTTTAAACGACCCCTCCCCTCTGCCATAAAGGATTGTGTGTGCTCGAGCCCGGAGCCAAATCCAAGTTGTGAAAAATTAGAAGTTCTAATTTGAAACTGGTGTGTGTGACTGCTTAGCAGAGCTGCCTGCCAGTGGAGCAGATAGATTAAGAAATGTTTGATCTTGACTTCAGACGCGGGTTAAATGCAAGATCTCGCTTTCAGCGTGTGAGAGGATTATTCGATGACCCCCAGTATAGCATTCAGTAATGGAGTAGGAATTGTTTGTGGCTTAGGACTTAGATAGCTCTTCCAAATCCCTCCGCTGAAGGAGGCTGTAAAAGCTGGCCATGAATAGCTTTTCCATTTGGAAACATGGCTGGTGCTAATTTTGCTTCTCTTCCCACAGATGTCGACATGGCCCCTTGGGTAAATGCGTGCATTGCGTACCACTCGAGGTAAGGATTTGAGATCACTGTGGAAAACAGCAGGGAGGAGGGATTCTGACTCAACTTGCTTTTCCTGCTTAAAAACCTCTTTTTACACCTCCCTCTGCATGATAATAGCGGTTCAAGGAGGCAGAACCCTGATGCATTTTACCTGCAGCCTCCTGGCCATACAAGTCCTAGTTGAAGAACCAGCCCTTTGGCCATAGCGCTGGCCTTGGATTTATGATGCTGGAGGCATCTGTTTTTCTGTGTTAATGTGTTTCACAGAAAGTGCTTTCAGAAGCTCAGGCTATTTAGTGCAAGACTTTTTTTTCCCCCTTCCCTCTCAATTTTCCTCTAGATATTTCTGCCTCTCCTTGCCATCGCTTCCCTCCCCCGGATCTCAGCATTTCTCCACAAAGTCCACCGCACCCTGTTTAGAGTACAACCAGCCATAATAACGCCTACTGCTACTCTGATCTGTTGGCTTTACAGTGTATAACAACAGTCCTCTCCGCCCCGCAGAAGCCTCCACAAATCGCTGTGGTCTCTTTCTCTCAAATAGCCTCAGAGTCCTTTGACTTTGTTGGATCAGCTGGTCTTATTTGTCATTATATTAAAAACAAAACCCGCTTGCCTCAAAGGCACAAGGCTGCTGATTTGTGGAGAAGAAAGTGCATTTTGAACAAATTTGAAGCAATAATAAAACTTGCTGTTGTAAAGCCCTGCTGTTCCTGACACAGTGATAGGCTGCCATGGGTGGGGGCAAAAAAAGAGCTTGGATGTCTTGATTGGTTCCACATTGGGAGCTGGAAGAACTGAATCTAGAACATCCATTTGCTGGATGATCAGTGTGTTTTCAGACAGGTGTCTGACCTGGCTTTCCTTTGTGTGGTGTTTTTGGCAGCCTTTTGATGAGGATTATTTAAACCACCTGGAACCTCCTGTGAAGCACATGTCATTCCATGCCTACATCAGGAAGCTGACCGGCGGAGCAGACAAGTAAGATTCACAGCTTTTATGGGCAATGAATCGTAGAATTGAGGGTCGCTTCCATCTGCAGCAGGGTAGGTGCTTGCAAGCAGTGTTGCCAACGTTGAAAAGAAGGTCACGTGGAATGAAGTGAAAGCCTGATGTGATCAATGAGCCAGGAATTTGGGCCTCAAGCTGAAGGGAGGAGTGGGCTGAGACCAGGGCTGGGTCTGGGATGCTTTAGCCACAATCCATTGCTGTTTATGTTGATTTTCGGATTGATAGAAGAGCAGAGATTAAGATCTCATTAGGGCCACCTCTTCCTCCGACACCAGCTCCTGTGTGACCTCACCCAGACCCCTTAGTCTCTCTGTGTCTGTGGTCTGCAAAGTGGCATTTTCCCTCCCGCCCTGAGGGGTTCTGAGCCTAAATGGATCAATAGAAACACTCCAGTACACTGGAGAAAGGGGCCAGGGTAAGTACCAGAGTGGGGAAATGCCCGCCCTGATATGTGTGCGTCTCTCCCTCACCCGGGCAGTAGGCACCAGGTGCTAATTTCAGAGTGAGGGGCATACTGCCCCTGCTGCCCGTGAAGGATTGCATGTCCCCATCCCCAAAGCTTGGGGTGGAAAACTCGCCAGAATTAGGACAGGCAAAGAACTGAAGCGTGTGGTTCCTCCTCCCCCTGCATGCTGTCCTGGGGAGATAAGACTCCAAATGGACATGCTTTCATTCAAGGAGGGCAGCACCCTTCATGGAGCTCTGTGGGCACACAAAGAAAGCTCGCGCTTTGTCCATGCTGTAGGACATGTTCCTCTCTATATGGCACATAAGCTGTTCCAGCTGGGTCTAAAGGATTCCTACCTGCTTTGGCAAGAGCCATGGCTACTAAGAGCTGTCCAGTCGTTAGGCTGGCAAGGGTCAGGGCTTCTGGCTTCCAGTACTAGAACTCCTGTGGGCTGTACACGGGGATCCCAGGCACGTCATGCCTGGTGGGGTGTTTTCTGGAGAAGCGAAGCTTGGGAAGCCCATTGAACACAAGGGGCTTTGCTGGCTAGGTTATGGAGGAGGCGGAGGCAGGCAGTATGCTAGCTAAAGCCACCTTTCTTCTTCAGAGGGAAGTTTGTTGCATTGGAAAACATCAGCTGCAAGATTAAGTCTGGGTGTGAAGGGCATCCGCCCTGGCCAGAAGGCATTTGCACCAAGTGTCAGCCAAGCGCAATCACTCTCAACAGACAGGTGAGACCCATTGCTGGGGACCCCTTGTCCTTTCAGACAGCCAAGGCATTATTCACCTGCCACACTTCTGGGAGAGGAGGAGCTTTGCAGAGAGCAGCTGTTGCAGCACAGAGCCTGTGCAGAGGCAGTGACTGTGCTGATCTCTAGCTACAGCAGAGGGGCTCTGAAGTGTGCCTGACTCAGCCATTTCCTCTTCGGGCAGAGGACAGCAGGATTCCCACATGCTAGGAGGGTGAATCTTGGCTTTTCTCCATGTGCAGCCCCAAACCACTTATACTCTCTCAGTGTAACCCACTGCCTTCCCACAGTCTGTCATAGTCACAGAGGAGCGTCAGATCCGTTGTCCAGTGATTTGGGATCTGAGCCCCCTGAGTGTTTTGTCCTTAGTCTGCTGCCTCGGGGGGTGGGAAGAGGTGTTCTGGACCTGCCCCTTGGAGCGAGCAGAAAGGATCAGGGCAATCTCAAGAAGGAGGCAACAATCCAGCTAGCTCTGCCTTCCTTCCTTGGCATTAGCAGCCTCTCTAACCTTCCCCTTCACTGGTGGATTACAGCCAAGGTGGACCAGGGGACTTTGCAGCGGGGGGTGGGGCGGGCGGCACACAGTTGGGTTGGAAGAAGTCTGGAGTTGGCCTGAGGGACTCGCGTTCTCGCTACAGAAATACAGGCATGTCGACAACATCATGTTCGAGAACCACACGATTGCTGACCGCTTCCTAGACTTCTGGAGGAAGACAGGGAACCAGCATCTGGGGTATTTGTATGGGCGGTACACAGAGCACAAGGACATCCCTCTGGGCATCCGGGCTGAGGTTGCTGCCATCTATGAACCTCCACAGGTAAAAATCAGTCGGGGTGAGATTGTCACACGTCTGTTCCCTGAGCACGGGAAGTGCAGAGCCCACTTCCACAATCCCATTTCTGACGGGAGATCCTAAAGAGCCTGCCACCTTAAAATCGCATTGTGATGAGGGGAGCGGTGGTTAGCCATGTTAGTCTGAAGTCAGGCAGAAGGCAAGGCGGGCTGCCACCTTAGAGCCTAACTGGTTCAAAGAGGTACAGACTTTCCTAGGCAACAACTTGTTGACTCAAACTGTCGCCACTGAACAAACCAGACAACTCGGATCTTCTCTTTGCTGAGACCTTTAACCTGAAAGCAAAAGCAGGCTCATACCAATGGCTTTCACTTTGGGGTTTCTGAATTGCTGGATTTCAAAGGCTTTGCTAAGGAGTGCTTTTGCTTTGGCAAATCTTAAAGCCTGCTTTTGGAGACATTTGCTGCTCTTAAGTTTAGCAAAACCATGTAACAGTGTTGTATGAAAAGTGTCTTGGCACTGTCTGCACAAGCAGAATCATGGACCATGAGGGCTGGAAGGGAGCTCAGGAGGTCACATCTAGTCCGACCCTCTGCTCCAAGCAGGACCAGCCCCAACTCCATCATCCCAGCGAAGGCTTTGTCTAGTCGAGTCTTCAAAGCCTTCAAGGATGGAGGCTTCACAACCTTTCTGAGTAACCAGTGCCAGTGTTTTACTACCCTCCTTGTGAGAAAATTCTTCCTAATATCTTCCCTTGCTGCAATGTGAGCCCATTGCTCCTTGTCCTGTCATCTGTCACCGCTGAGAACAGTCCAGCTCCAGCCTCTTTGCAACCCCCCTGCAGGGAGGTGAAAGCTGCTTATTAAATCCCCCTTCAGTCTTCTCTTCTGTAGACTAAACAAGCCCAGTTCCCTCTGTCTTTCCTTGTAAGTCATGTCCCCCAGTCCCCAAACCATTTTTGTTGCCTTCTGTTGGACCCTCTCCAATTTGCCCCCATCCTTTCTGTGGTGGGGGGCCCAAAACTGGACACAGGACTACCGATGCGGCCTCCCCAGCGCTGAACAGAGGGGAAAAATCACTTCCCTTGACCTGCTGGCAACACTTCTACTGACACAGCCCAGGATGCCATTAGCTTTCTTTGCAACAAGGGCACACTCTTGGCTCATATTCAGTTTATCCACTGATGCTGCCCAGGAAAGAGAGCTATGTCTATGGCAGAATGCTTGAAACTCGACACGTTTTGGGTACCTTGTATTTTAGAGAAAAAATCAGCATTTTCATTGCATCTGAGAATGTAACCAGCTGTTTCAGCGGCCTTCCCTTCAGGGTTTGGGATGCCTCTTGGTGAGCTGGTCATTGTGCTTCTTTTCAGACTGATTCCCTTTACTAGCTTGTCTCTCAGTTTCTGCTCTGTCTCTGCTCTGGCATTTGGGTTTCTGTTTGTAGAACCAGAAGTGCCGAGAGGATATGAAAATGCAGTTAAGAGCTGTCATGGGTGAAAATCACTAGATGGCGCTGGTCACTGCGCCGGGAGCCCTCTGGCCGTGTCTGCGCAGGGCCTGCCTTCTCTTTTACGACCAGCATTTCCCGATTGTTCAGTCTCTTATGTAACTTTAGATGGGTCAGATCCTCTGGAGCCTGGAATTGGAAGTTGAATGATACAACCAAGGAGTCTTGAGCCGCAGAGAGAGAGTAGAGCAGCAGGAAGAAGATGCAGGGGCATCAGAAAGTGCCAGAGTTGGGCTTGTTAGAGTATCCAGACTCGCGTTCATCCAGAATGGAACTGGGCTGCCAGATGTTTGGTCTGTTTGAAACTCAGGTGCAAGGTCACCTTGGCAGTGCTTGGGTGTTGCGGCAGACAGCTGTTTGGAGGCCGTGCTGTACATGTCCCGTACCATGTTACTTGCTAGTAAAGATACAGGAACACAAAGCTGGATTGGAAGCGAGGTAAGCGCCATAAAGCACATCAGGAGGAGCACGGGAAGCAGCAGCTCTCATGTAATTGCTAAACCGCAAGCTGCCTTCGCACCAGGCATAAGCATCTATGAAGCCTGCAGAAGGCAAGGGAGTGGAGTGGAGTTTGGCACCTTTGTCAGCTGCAGTGTGCAATCGATGGCATAGAAACCCTGCCAAGCCCTAGGGACAAGGACAGGTTTTCAGCCTGAGTGATTCCTTGCTTTGGAGCTATTAGGAATGTCAGTGTGCTTAGCCCCTGTGTGGTGGGCGGTAGGGAACTAGATGTACCTGTGTGTGTGGAGAAGGATGGAGCATGAGTGCTGTTACTCCTGACCTTGGAGTGACATACAAACTTTCTCGGGATGAGTGTGGAAGGTATCACAGGATCTTTAAGTGTCTGCTGCACACTCCTGTGACCAGCCTTGCCTGTAATGTCTCTGCCAGTTCTGGGCAATGCCAGCACAATGCATCACATCATCTTGCCCCGGTGTCACGCTTCAGCCCGTGTGTGTTGCTGGGATATGCGGGTTTGGAAATGAATGTGCTCCCAGTTGCTCTTCCTCTACATCAGGGTTTTGCTAGGAAGTCGCCATTATCCCATGGAGAGAAAGCTCCACTGTAGTGTTTGGCAGAGAAACCCCAAAGCCCCAACTGCTGGCTCCTAAATCACGCCCAGATGGCTGAGCTGTGTTTTCCAGAGCTGGAGTGGAGACCTGGGCGGGTGCTCTTGGAGTCACGGAGTTCCTCCCTGAGCACCGCTCTTGCGTTCAAACTGACACAGCCAGAACCTAAAGCTGGCAGGGTGACTGGGACTTGGGAAAGATTATATAATGTTTTCCTTTCTCCAGGGGCTTAGAGACGGCCAAAGGCTCGATTTTTATGCAGGCATTGATAAAGCCTTTCATTCACGAGTCCCATTGTGCTTTGCCAATTTAGCCTAAGTAATTCCTTGGGATGGATACTTCCACCTTTGGCACTAGGTTTGCACTCGTTTGATTCAGATGACTTTCCAGACCTGGAGCAGGAAACAGAGCCCGGAAACTCTCTTTCCCGGTCCCTTGTCTTTTGCCACAAGAGCATCTCCCTGAAAGGGCTAAACCCATAAGAACAGTACTTGTTATCTCTGAATTCGGGGCGGGTCCTTAATTGCCTCCTCTTCCCTTGCAGATCGGCACACAGAACAGCCTGGAGATCCTAGAAGATCCCAAAGCAGAGGTGGTGGACGAGATTGCCGCAAAACTCGGCCTGAGAAAGGTAGCCAAGTGCTGTCGGAGAGCGTGGATTTCAGATCCAGGGTTCTCTGCAGCAGTCACGGGAGGCTCATCTGGCATCAATTCTCTTCAGCTTCCTGGGGTTGAATTAAGACGGGATGCGTTCTGAAACCTCCTCTCGGGTGCCAGGAGCTTTTATGTTTTTAAGTGTTAGAGAAAGATGAAACCATTTCCCTCAGTGCAAGTACTGAGCAGGACAGCAGGGCTGCTCCATATAAGCCAATATCCCTCTGTCTTAACATCAAAGGATTTAGAGGAGCAGGAGCACAGCTCTTCATTTCTCTTCCCTCCAGTGAGCACTCTCTGGTAGCACCTCTGTGGGAAGTGCTAATTTAACACAGCTGTGGGTGGAGTTGTCTTTTGGGGGTTTTGTCCCTTCTCTGCGAGGGTCCGTGTTTGACCATCTAGAACTGAGGCTCTGATGGTCGGAATTCTCCCTCCATGCGACTGTTTAGACTGCCCGTGGCAAGCGTGATCTTGCATGCAGGGTTCAGCTCTTGGGCTGCTATTTCTCTTGGGTCTGCAACCTTGACTGACTCAAGATATAGAGATTTCAGCATCCTCTGCCTGCTGTTTGCTTTTGGGCAATACTGAACTTTCCCTTCTGCAAGGACAGTCCTCTTAATGCCTTGCAAAGGGGAAGATTTAGGTGCGCTGAGATTTTCTGAGGTTGGTTTCTCTTGTGCCTCAAGTCTTGTCTTTGTCCTTCAACCCACAAACAACACTGGTGAGACCTTTCCTTGTTCTCTGAGCTCTTCACGCTGGCATCTGCTGCAAGGAATTGGTAGATTCTTGAACTCCGAGTTGTCCTTTATTTTCCACATCAGATTTGTTAAAATTGCATAAAGTGTGGTTACAGATCTTTGGTTGCCCATCTGTGGTGCACACTTTGTCTACTGGTTTTACTGCAACCATGCAGCAGCATTTTGTACTTAGATCATAGAGAAGTAGGGTTGGAAGGCACCTCCGGAAGTCTTCTAGTCCAACCCCCTGTCTGAGGCAGGACCATCCCTCTCCAAACCATCCTTTGTAGTCCTACACAAACCGCCATCAACCCTGACAATACACTTGGATGGCTCAATGCTGTAGAAGGGAAGGGCAAGGAGGGATTGGAATGAGAGAGATGTGTTTTAATACAGTGGAAAATAGTGAGTAAATTATCTTTTAAAGAGGGCAGGCTGGGATTCAGGATGCACCAGACATCATCTGAGCCATTTGGTTACCTCCTGTTGTTCTTGATGCTTTTTAGCTCAAACCGTCGAGCAACAAATACCTTTTGCAGAGGGTTGCAGGAGGGGGAAGCAGAGAGGTCTACCTGCAGCCAACAGGTTTCTCCTGTGGAGAAATACCACGTGTGGATTGTGTTGAGATAAGCTTGATGCTGCTTGAAGAGCTGTTTCCTTCAGGCAGTGGACTGAAGGCGCTTGTGGGCTGGTACAGGGAGCTAGGGGTGTCTTGTACTAGCAGGGGACATGTCTTTTAATTTTTGTGTTTATAATTATTTTGTTACAGGTTGGCTGGATCTTTACAGACCTGGTCTCTGAAGATACACGGAAGGGAACGGTTCGGTACAGCCGAAACAAGGTGAGATGCAAGCGTGGTGTTACAGGTGATTGGGCCATTCATGTAGCCTCATGCCCCAGAGAAGTTTAAGGCTCCAGTGGAGGGCTGGGCGTGTGCTGTCTCTGGAGCAGTTCGTGGAATATGGAAGGAGCCCTGTGCAGGTGTATGGGAGGAATGCAGGGTTGTATGTGAAGTCTCTTGACTCAGTCCTGATATGAATGATCGAGAGAGGCTCACAGGAGTGGTCAGTGCAATCAGTAAATTATCAGCACATCCCTTGGAGGCTGGACAGCCAGCTGGCCTTCATTGGCTGTCATATGAGACTTGCATGCTGTGTTTTGGCCCTAGATGTTCATTGTCCTCCACCCCTGTGATTTGGAATTGATATTACCCTCCCCCCTGCCCCATAAGATGGGGAAACAGGCATAGTCTAAAGTGACTTGCCCAGGATTATACAGTCAGGAGTGTGAATTGGGGATTCTCCAATACCGAGGCCTGTGCGGTATTTGTAGTATTCCCTTCTCCACTCTCACAAATGTCTTGCACAGAAGCCTATTTTAACAAGCCATCACTAGTTTGCCTTGGTTGTGCATAACTTGGCTCAGTGTTGTTTGCCGTTTCCTTCCCCTCCTCCCCACAGGACGCATACTTTCTAAGTGCAGAGGAGTGCATCACAGCAGGGAACTTCCAGAACCAACAGCCCAACATATGTCGCCTATCACCAGACGGACACTTTGGATCCAAGTTTGTCACTGTTGTGGCTACAGGTATGAGCGGGCACAGGGCTGTCCTGTCATGGACTGCGTCCTGACCTGACATCCTTCAGATTGTCTCCCTTGAATCTTGGGCAAAGCTCTTTTTTGGAGTATTCAAACCAATTGTGTGTGATAGATTTCTCTTGTTCCATGTGCTAATGGAGCTGGACTGTTCTCAGTGGGAGCAGATGACAGAACAAGGAGCAATGGACTCAAGTTGCAGCAAGGGAAGTTTAGGAACCAACTTCCAAGGGAAGTAGTGCTTGCTCCTACCCTGGAAGTCTTCAGAAGGAAGCTAGAGAATCACCTTGCCAGGGTTGTTTGACCCCAGTACTCTTTCCTGCCCATGGCAGGGGGTCAGACTTGATGATCTGCTCAGGTCCCTTCTGACCCTACCAACCATGAAACTAGGTTGGATATCAGGAAAAAAATTCTCACCAGGAAAGTGGTGAAGCACTAGGACAGTCTCCCCAGAGAGGTGGTGGAATCTCCATCCTTGGAGGTGTTTAAGACCCGGGTAGACAAAGCCCTGGCTGGGATGATGTAGTTGGGGCTGGTCCTGCTTTGAACAGGGGGTTGGACTAGAAGTGACCTCCTGAGCTCCATAGATTCATAGATGTTAGGGTCGGAAGGGACCTCAATAGATCATCGAGTCCGACCCCCTGCATAGGCAGGAAAGAGAGAACCTCCTCTTGAAGACCCCCAGGGTAGGGGGGGAGAGCACCACCTCCCTTGGGAGCCCGTTCCAGACCTTGGCCACTCGAACTGTGAAGAAGTTCTTCCTAATGTCCAATCTAAATCTGCTCTCTGCTAGCTTGTGGCCATTATTTCTTGTAACCCCCGGGGGCGCCTTGGTGAATAAAACCTCACCAATTCCCTTCTGTGCCCCCGTGATGAACTTATAGGCAGCCACAAGGTCGCCTCTCAACCTTCTCTTGCGGAGGCTGAATAGATCCAGTTTCTCTAGTCTCTCCTCGTAGGGCTTGGTCTGCAAGCCCTTAACCATACGAGTGGCCCTTCTCTGGACCCTCTCCAGGTTATCCGCGTCCCTCCCTTCCAACCTTCATTGTCTATGATTCTAATTGCAGCTTTTACTATATTTGATCCCTTAGATCCCACTTCCTGATTAACCTCCTCTTAAGTTAGCTCCATATTAAGCATGGGAGAAGGCTAGATGATTAGCGAAAGGCTGCCATGCATGGGACCCTTCCAGACCTGTTGTATCCAGTAACACAGTGGTACAGACAGTCTCCTGGAAAGTGTTGGGGAAACCATGCCCTGGTTTCCCAGCTGAATTATGTCCAGTCCCCCATCCACTTGGATGATGGAGACAGCATGCAGTGCCACAAGACTGTAGGCGCCTCGGGAGTTTACTCTGCGTGGTTCACTGTAAGGCATGTATCAGTAGAAGAAAGCAGTCTGCATAGTCTGCATGCCTCCATCGCATTGGCTGCAGGAATCCCACAGAGAGCTCTTTCCAGCTCTTCTCTCCAAAGACCCCAGCGGGATGCTCTGCCACACATGGCCAACGCATGGAGATCTTGGCATGTTCTGGGGAAGTCATAGCATTACAAGTTCAATCTGCCCTTCAGCTCTGAGATGCCCCAGCTGTATTCGTTTAAGGCATCTCTGAAGCAGATTCCCCATGTTGTGTTTTGAATGATGAGAGAAAGCACAGCTTCCACACAGCACCCACTATCAAGTGGGGTAGCCTGTTGCCTCCTTTGCTGAGCCCTGAGCTTCCAAACTAGGCCCCAGGCATTTTTCAGTAAAAAAGCCACCTTTTCCAGTCAACAGGCCCATGCGATCAGACAGCTGCCTGACACATTCCAGGCAGTTAAGCGCATCAGTCTTTCATTGCAAGATGAATGTGTATCTCTCTCTCTGGTGTTTTATTGAGGAATTTATCATTAGTCTTGTTCAGGACTTCTTTGTGCCTCAGCTGATGGTTCATTTCTAGGAGCATTTGCTCCAGACCACTGCGTGACAGGCTGGAAGTTGGAGGAGATGGGAACCGGTTTTCTTTCTCTGTTCCAGATAACTTCATTTCTTTTTCATTAAATCAGCACATCAGGGTTCTGTTTGAACACTTGATTTCTTCCTTCTGCGCAATATAAATCTAATTATGCAGTTTGTCTCAGCTGCTTTGCCTTTTTTTAAAATCCCCTTGGTAATTTTCATTTCCTGTAGTAGACCCTAGGTCCACGGATAGCTCCACTGTCCTGCCATCTCTGTGCATTCAGTTCTCCTTCAGCTTATGTTCCAGTGGTGCACAAGGTGTGATCCATGGTAGCTGCAGCTAGTCTCAGTTTCCAGTCTTTCATGTTGTAAGAGTCTTTCCAGTTTTTCATGAGGAGTTGGGTTGGGTTGCCTAGCTTGTGTTACCATGTGGTCAGCCTATGTTGTTGCACTCTGGAATTTGCAATATAAACCTTAATGCCAGGTGCACAGATATCTAACAGAGCTGTTGAGTAGACTGCACGTTGTAGTGCTCTGGAGAAGCCTCGACCCATGCTAGTTTGAGGACCAGATGAGTAGCCACCTTTAGCATGGCACTTTCCCCAGGCTACCACGCCCAGCATGGTGTTATGAGGCCTACTGTGTCCTGAACTGAGTTGTGGAGAGCTTTGGTACACAGAGGGGGCTACAGGGCTCTGACCAGAGGCCCCGGGATTGACGTCTTGGCCCCATTTAAGTACTGGTAAAACCCAGGGCTTCACTCTAGTAAATGCCCTTGAAATAGTGCACAGTGTAAAGTAATGTAGGGAATCCTTACCTGAATGCACCTCCAGTATAGCCAGCTGTGCTCCCCAGCAGGGCAGTAGCTGGTTCAGGTCGTGTTGCTCTCCACAATGACTTGCTCCGGTGTGCTAAGTGGTGTCTCTCCCTCCTAGGTGGTCCCGACAACCAGGTCCACTTTGAGGGTTACCAGGTCTCCAACCAGTGCATGGCGCTGGTCCGGGATGAATGCCTGCTGCCGTGCCGGGATGCACCGGAGCTCGGCTACGCAAAGGAGTCCAGCAGTGAGCAGTACGTGCCTGATGTGTTCTACAAGGTGAGAGGTGGGAGCTGGCAGGAGGAATCTGGAGGGAGAGCGGTGGGGAAGAGATGCCAGGAAAAGGTCTGGGCCTGGAGTGAGCCTGTCCAGCTGGGCCAAGGGCAGCTCTGAGGTCCCAACCTGCTTTCAGCAGTAACTGGTCACCACGTGGATATGGTGGTTGTGGGAGCTCCTTTTTCCCCTCTTGTAAAAGTGCTCTTTGGGTCTCTAGCACAGTGGTAGCCACGGGATCTCTCACTTCTAGGCGGAGGCTGCAGGGATCTGCCTCTTGCTTGAAGTCAGCACCCTGAAGTAACTGCATGCCCTGCGCTCCTTGGCTGTCAGCCGCACCACTGTGTGGGAGGGTTTGAGTTTAATCCCCAACTGTGTATATCTGCCTCCACGTCTGCCAGTGCCTCTGGCAGGTGCACTCTAGCAAAATACTGCAGTGGTAAAAGCATTAAGGGCTAAACACAAGGGTGAGGGATCCTTTTTGCTGTACGCTATGTTTTTGAGGGGCCTACAGAGCAGCAGCTGCCACTGAACCATAACACAGCAAGCACTAAGGTGGGAAATACAGCCATACAGGAAAGACGTAGCGCCTCCCACCCAGCAGAAGGGGAGCTTGTAGTCGGTGAGCGCAGGAGCAGGGGACAAAGAGTTAGCAGACCTGTTACAGGGAAGGAATACAGCTCTGGCTTCTCCCATCTGTCTTTGCTAACATTAGTGCCTGCTAGTGGATCCCAGGCCTCAGCTGCAGAGCATGTTCCAGACCCTTGGGACACTTCATTAGTGCTTGCTGTAGTCAGTCCTCCTGCACATGCAGAGGGTGTTGCTCTAAATGCAGCTTGTTAGCAACGAGCCAGCCTTCCAGGGCCACTTGACAGTTGTTCCCAGAGCCTGTCAAACCTCTTGTGGCTGCAGAGTCAGGTTGGCAGTGTAGTAGCAGGACCTCCAGCGAGCGGAACAAGGTTGCTGCTCAGGAATTCGCTTTGCTGCCTCCCAGTGCTTCGTGAGCAAGGATGGGATAAATAATGAATGGGTCTTGCAGGTATGATCTTGTGTGTCCCAAAGTCAGGAGAATACAAGATGCGGAAACACCACCTGCTCGGTGAACATCTTTGAGGGTTTGCCCCAGGTCCCTCTTGATGCCCGCAGTCACCTTGCTCTCACGTCCCCCAGTGGCTGTGGAACCCCTCACAACCAGCCTTCTTCATCTCTCAGGCAGCCTTCTTCCGTGCTGAGTGGGCACTGTTAAGCTGGTCTATGTCCTCAGCCGCTTGCTGGCAGCACACAGGAGGCTTCCACACCTTGACCAGGTGATGGCCCTTTTGGCAATTTGACATGGGCCCAACATAAGTGCAATGAAGCCTAATGGTGCAGTTGTACCTGGCCAGAATAGGAGGGCACCGCCTGCCGTGAGTACAAATCCAGCATGCAGGGCTTCAGCTTGGAACAAACAGATCAAGAGAGGGGCACACCAAGCTGTGCCTCTACCTCTGCTTTCCAAACGAGTGCGGGGCTGGAACAGGAGCTGGAGAGCTCTGCATTGCATGCTCTGCCTGTCCCTGGTGATCAGAGCAGCAAGCAGCCGGTGGGTGTTCCAGCAAGTTCTCACTCCTGGTTTTAATCTGAAGCCGTGGAAGTAAACAAAATGCTTGCAGATGACTCTGGCATTATGCAGCCATTTCCGGGAACCAGTGAATCACTGGGTCAGGCTCCAGATTATTTCATACATTTTATAGCTCCTGCCCGTATTTGCCTCTGTCCTGCTGTCCCGTAGGAAGGCCGGAGGACCGGGCTAGCGGGTGTCATTGTGTTTTAGACTGAAACATGCTTGGCTGTAACAGCGCTCGTATTCTGGAACATTTTTAACTTGAGGGAAAGCTTAGTTGCTCCTGCTTTTAGAGACCTTCTGGGTCTCATTAAATGCAGAAGGCCTGAGGTCAGAGACACTACCTCATGGCTGTTGGGCTGGTGACAGCAACCTTGGCAAAGCCTTGCTGAAGCGTTACACGGGGGTGGAGGTCCTGATGGTGCTTGGCCTTGCTGCGAGAAGACACAAGTCCTTCAGCTGCATACCCATTGCCAGAGCCCTGCAGTAGCTGGGCAGCATTCAGCTTGGTATCTGGTTTCTCTCCCCCCCATTTGCATCAGTGGCTTTTTGCTTCCTGCCCTGGGCTGTTGCCTTGCACTCTTAAACAGTTGTTGCATCTCATCTCAGGCGGCTGTTTCAGTAGCTAAGGAAAGTAATCCGTATATTTAGATGCAGCTTGCGAATATCTGCCTGAAAAGCACTTTAGGAGGAAGTATACATTTATTATGATTGGATGAGGACCAGCATTTATGTAGCGTGGGATATTTATAGAACAACCTTAGCTCTGAATACCAAAGAAGCCGTTGAACTCTTGTATCCATGAGTTGGGTGAGAGGATTGATGCACCCGAGACATTTGCCCACAGAAAAAGGCAGTTGCATGTAGAACTGGAGCAATGTATGGCAGCTGCCGTGCTGCCATCTGCTTGATGCCCAGGGAGGAGATCTGGTGCCTTTGCCCCTAATGGGTGTCATCTTTGTGTCTGAAATAACTTTCAGAAATGTCTGGATTAGTAATGCTGCTGAGAGGGAGGGCTGCGGCAGGGATCAAAGCCACACAGCTGGGAAGCATTACAGAGAGCGTTGCAGGTTGGAGGACTTTGGCAAGCAGAAACAGAGGTGCTGCAAGGGGAACTAAGAGCCCTCTTCAGTCATCGAGCTGGCGTGCGTCAAGATGTGTTCGCGGGATGGGGTCAGAGCTAGCAGGGCCCTCGGCATGTGCTGCAGCTGCTGCTGCAGAGGTTCCCACGTGAACGAGCGTGACGCAGCTCGGTGACCCGTCAGCTGCAGGCGTGTCTTAAATAACACAGCAACGGGAAAATGCGTGGCACTGGGATTGCCCTGGTTTAGAAAGGAAAGTACTTGCTGAAGCCTCTGGGCAAGCAGCTCCTGCATGTCTTTCCCATTCACTTCATGCTGGACTCTCGCCCTGCTGCTGCTCACGGAAAACTTCCGCTCAGCCTTGGCAGCACAGCGCTCTGAGTGGGGAGATTCATTCCCTGGCACGTGAAGGCTGTAGGTTTGCTCCAGAGCTTTTAGGACTAGGGATATAAATTACTCTGCTAAGTAGCTTCTCCCGCCTTCATCAGCCTGGAAAGGAAATACCCCCACAGGGGTCGAGCTGGGGCTTTCTGGGTGTCCCAGTGCTGTGTTTGGTAAGGCTGGAGCGCTGGGTAACCAGCAGCTAGGCTGGCTGGCACCCCTTAGCCCCTTCTTCTTCCAGGCAAACTTCCTGAGGAGCCTCCCTTCTCTGGACACAGGGGCAGGCAGTCGGGTGGTAGCTGTTGGGCGTAGTGCTAGAAACAACATCGCGTTCACCTCCTGCATAGTTCATTTGCCAACCGGATGGGCTGCAGGAAGATTCCTTTCGAGATCAGAGTTGTTGAAACCTTGGGTTTGTTCTGTTAAAAGTCCTTGCCTTTTGCCTCGAAGCAGATTCCTCCTCCTGGTCCCATCTGGTCTGGGAAATAAGTCTCTCCCTCTCCCCCATTCCTCCCCCCCTCCTCACCTGGAAGCAGGGCCCTGCGCATATGTTTAAGGCTGCTTGCGTGCTGTGCTCGTGTCTGTGGCTGCATGGTGCATAGGTGCTGCAGGCTCCTCGAGTTCTCTCAGCGCGGCTGCTGAGTTCACGACTTTCCATGACGGAGCTGGCATCTGATTGCACACCCCAGCAGGCTCCGGGCTGCGGAGCTCTCTTGAAGTCTGTCGCAGCACCGCAGGACTCTCGCTCCAGACTATTTCATGGCTGTCTCGGCCTTCCATCCAGCGGAGCGAAGAGAGCGCGCGCCGAGTTTTATGGACCCTTTGAAGCATCTGAATGGCAGTGTTGCTAGCGCTTTTGCAGGATGGGGCGGCTGTGTTGTGTTCAGGCACATACCTGTGATCTCACCAGCAGACCCAGTGATGTCATACTTGCAAGCAGTTAGGTTTTACGGCTGCAGGGGAGTCCAGATGAAAGCCCTTCCCCGTGGCACGTGCATCTCCGGAGGGACCTTTGCCCATCATATTGCAGGGTTTTAGGTCTGGCTTTCACATTCGGCCTCAGCGCATCTGCTGGTGGACTTGAGTTTCAGCTCAGGCTCAGGGAAACTTGGTTTCACCCAGGCCGTGGCCCAACTTGACAGCAGTTTGCAGCTTTTTATGGAGGCCAAATAGGATTACGATCCCTCAGCTTCTCCTTGCCCAGACTGCGTTATGGGTGCTTGGTGGGGAGCAACCTTCCCGGTCTGCTGGAGAGGCCCTTTCCTGGAAGTCTGATAACTGCATTCCTTGCAGGGGTACCTCACAGCTGGTTCATTGGGGGGATCCTCACTAGTTATGGTGGTGGGAGCTGCTGGAGCAACCAGAATATTGAGGAGCCTTCTCTGAAGGGCCATTAATATGCTTTGCTCTCTTAGTATGCAAACAGGCATGGCATTTGTCCTGGGATAAGCCATTTTATCCCAGCACAAAGTGCAGTCATTCAGACACCCATGTCCATTGTCCTAGGATAAATCCTGAAAAGGTTCTCAGTGTAAGAAATACTAACAGTTCATCCAGCAATGTAGCAAAGTGCATCTGTGCAGTTATCTTGGGATTGTATCGCTGAATCCGTGGCAGAAAGACGACAGTACCTTCAGCCACTCACTGCACTAAACCTTGATTTGAAGGGTGATGTGTGCACATGCTAGTCCCGGGATGGCTCGTGTCCTGGGATAAGCACAGGCACAACTTGCTGAGGGGCAAATGCAACGTCTCTTCCCAGCTCGCTCGTCTTGAGGCTGCTGCAGGGGTGACTGGCGCTGAGAGGCCTCTTGAGGTCTGAGCTAGAGCATGGACCAAGTGACGTTGCCACGTGTCACCTTGAATCTCCTACCCCAAAGATTCTCCCGGGTTTTGCAAAGGAAGCTCCCCTCAGACTCCAGTGCTCTCCCCAACCTGGGGTAACCATGCAGGAGGCTGGAAGGAGATGGGCAGCCGCCTTGTTGCAGGAGCTTGCCGCAGTAGTTAGCTTGCAGTGGTGAAAGACTTGATGGAAATTCAGAGGTTGCCCCGTGTGAGCTACCCGGAGAGACCTCTTTTGTCATCACTGCCTGGCCTGTGCAGGAAACGCTTCTGGTGCCCAGAGGCCCTTAGCCCATCTTTAAACGCTGCCTAGATTTGTATGCGGCACCTCAACTGTGATTAAATAATCCAGAGCAGGCTGTGTGGATTTGCATGTCCTCACTGTCCTTAGACTATTTGCATGGTTGGGGGTGATCACAGGCTGTCCTCATGTTCAGTAGGTGCCAGCGTTTGCACACAGGGCTCTGTCGGTAACTCCCACTGGCATTGGCCTGCTGCTAATCGTACGGGTTGGCTCCAGAAAGGACCCTGGGAGTCCCAAAAAGAGCCCAGATGTGGAATGGCACTGGACAAGGAGTCGGGACTCCTGGGTTCGGTTTGTGGCTTTCTGATCTGCTGTGGGACTGTAGATAAACCATGAGCTTTCCCTCTGTAAAGTGAGGTGTAAACCCCTAGGAGCTGGAAAGCCACATTGGAGCAAGTGCAGCCCCTCACGGGCCCAGAAGCTTTGGCAAACTCCACAGTGATATGAGCAGAGCAAACCCAGAGCGTCTTGATTGTGTGAGGGCAGCCCCAGGGGAAGGAGAGGTCTCGGAGCCTGCTCAGCTCTGGGAACAAGGTTCTCTGGTCCATTTAAGAGGGAGCCACCCTCAGACTTGCCTACATCCTCAAGCAGATCGTGGTATCTGAAAACACTTTGAGCCGAGCCTGCGATGCCGCGCTCCTCAACGCGCTCCGGCGGTCGCAATCCTGCCGCCAGTGGATTCACGGCCTTCCTGCGCGGAGACAGAAGCTACAGCCCATTCAGTCGAGCCGTGCTGAAAGCATCCTAATCGCAGGCACCGATCTCCCCTGCTGTCTCCAGCGTGATTCACGGCCGGTTCCTTTGAGGCCTTCTGCTTGATTTCTCTCCAGATGCCGCGTAGACTCGTGCCTCCGTTAACTCCTTGCTGCCCTTTTTTTGGAGCCACTGCCGCAAAGCAGGGCCCGCAGCCTGGTGCAGGCGCTGGCAGCCTCGAGTTCCCAAGCCTCGGTAATAACGCACCACATGTGCGGAGCAAGGCTGCGGAGGCCCTGGCGACTGCCAGATTCGGATGAAGACGTGTCTCTTCCAGCAATGTTCCCAGCTTGACATTTGTTAAGGCCTATAAAATGTAATTGCCTAATAAAATGGCACCCAGGGGTCAGCGGAGTGTGGGGGGAGGTGGGTGCCGGCTCCGCTCATAGCGGAGGGGGGCGCAGATGCCTCCTGTAGCTCAGGGAAGTTGGGTTTCACTTGGTAGTAACAATTTAGAGAAGCTCTTTAAGGCCTGAGTAGCATGACATTAAAAAAGGAGGCATTTAACATGGAAATCCCCAGAGGCACAGATTAAAACGAACAGGTGCTGGAAAAATGTTTCTGCATATTAGAACTTAATTAGATTTGAAAACGAATTCCAGATGGGCTAATTATGTGTGAGTTGTTGCAGGTTCTTTCTTGCCGGGGCAAGAGTGTGTTTGGGAAGCTGATTGAGCCTGATTGGATTTGATTCCTGACGCGCTCTCGCAGTATCGCCGAGCTCTGGAAACAGGCCGGCTCTTGGGGCCTGTGATCCCCCGCTGCTCCTGTCAGAGCCACAGAGATCTAAGGGCGCGAGCCACCGGGCTTGTTGCTAAAATAACCACGGGGCCAACAACCTGTCATGTTCAAGGAGAGGAGATCCTTATCAAGACTGCCTTTAAAGAGAGCTTCAAAGGCGGGCAGGTGGATTCTTCAAAGGGAGCTCTTTCTAGGGACATCTGATGTGCAGGGAGCTGCGGGCTGCTGTTGTCTCCGGCGTGCCCGGGCGAGCGTCCGACCGGGCTTCTCGGGACTGCGGAGTGCGAGAGCAGGGTGCTGGCTGCAGCGCTGCATGCTTGTTTCCTATCAAGGCTAAAGTAACTGCGAAGTATTGAGAGAGCAGTGTTGGCACACACAGAGATGGGAAAGAAAGCTTTCACCAGGCTGGGGCCAGGGCAGCGCTTCTCCCAAGTCTGTTGCTTTTGAAGGCACCATCTTAGGCACACTTCCCAGCACCCTGGAGGGGACCCACTCTACCTGCGTTGCTTGGGTAGGCGGGGGGCAGAGTTCACGGCCTTCGCAGCTTGCTTCCTGGCGCTGGCTTGAAGCGTGCGGAGGGAGAGGGGCGGCTGAATCTGCTTAGCAGTCAGCGGGATCTGCCTCCCAGCCACGCTGGCGTTCGAAAGCTTAGCAAATGTAAACTTTTATGTAAGGTCTCTGATTGGAAATTATGGATGTATAATTTATATATGGCTCGATGAATGATTTATAACATGTTAAGTGATGATTTAGGTAGAAAATACAGCCCCCTCTTACAGAATCTTTAATGAAAAGTGTCAGTTCTTATGAATTTATTTCTGAAGCCGTGTTTGAACTCAGCATGTTTGACATAAATCAAGTCTAATTGTCATTTTGTGATTAATGAACATATGCCGGCCGTTTTTCTCCATAATTAAACTTTATGTTCAATTCATCTGGCAAAGCAAAACAAGTTGAGGTTCTCGCATGGAGCTCTTTCAGGCCTGTGTGTTTTGGACAAAGCGCTTGGTTTTCCATGGTCGTGAACAGCAGCGGTTTCATCAGAGACGCCGGTGGTTGGCTTGGCGGGGCACCCTGGGCCGGAAGTCAGCCGTGTGTTTCCCCGGAGTGGCAAAAGGGCTATTTTTAAATTCTGAACACGGCACCTTCCCCCTTCACCCACAGAGATCCCTGCTGGACCTCTCTGAGGAGCAGAGTAGCTGTGTGAAGGACAGCTCTTACGTCCAGAGCGGCCTTAAGACGGCTCTGTATCTGCTTTCCTCCTGGTGACAAAGAGCCCAGTAAAACGACAGGCCTCAAAGTGCTTTTCTGTATCTCTTCTAGGTCTGCTGCCGGAGCCTGTGTGCCGTCTATCCTGCGCCGCCTCCGTGCTGTTCAGTAACAAACTCTTCTTCTTTCAGGACATAGACAAGTTTGGCAACGAGATCACCCAGCTCGCCCGCCCACTGCCTGTCGAGTACCTGATCATAGATGTAAGTACCCACGTGCTACCTGCTTGTCAGCATCGGGACACAGAGTCCAGCCTCTCCTGCACCACAAACCCTTTAGACAAATTCAGGGGCTCTGAGGGGTCAAATCCTCACTGGCTTTCTGGAGCTCGCTCGTGTTGGGCTAAGCTGGGCAGTACAGCCGGCAGCTGCCTGCGGGTAGTTGTAGTGCCCTGTGGGTGGGCAGGGTTTTGATGCCGTAGAAATACACCAGCATCCTCAGTACTCACTGCTGAGCGCCTCTCTGCTATTTGCAAGTGGAGCATTTGCATGAAATGAAGGAAGCGGCCAGCCTCATAGACCTGCTGGGCGTTGCATCGCCGGGAGCCAATTAGGACGCTCCCTTGGTCTCTTCACAGCAGTAATTAAGAGCGTGCTGCTTAGGGTGGCCCCTGAGCAGGCTGGATTTATGCTCTGAAAACGCCTCGTGCCTCCCCGTAGGGAAGGAACCCCAGTCTGAGCATGCAGGGCCCATCTCCCGGTCTTGAGCTGGGGTGTTTCCTTCGGAGGGAGGGTCCCCCGAAGGGCGGTTGGCCTGAGAGTCCCATCCTGTCCAGAAGCCTCACCATGGCCGTGGGGAGCAGCATTAAAATCCTGCCACTGCCTTTCAGTTTTAATGGGAGCTTTACTGCCTGAGAGCGCGAGGCAGGGAATTCAGACGGCAGCAAGTATCGCGGGAGCTGGTGCGGTGCCAGCAACAATTAAACCCATTCAGAGCACCGGGGCCAGGGCAGCTGCCGCCAGTGCGAATCCGTGGCATCCCAAGCACGGCGCTGGGAAAGCCCCAATGTGGGGAGCTGGCAGGCTGAGGGCTCGTGTTCGCTCTTCCCCTTCTCCGCGTAGCATCCGCCGCTATGCGTGTCCCTCATTAGCTGCGCACGCGCTGCGGGCCTAGCTGTCCACTGTGCATGGCAAAATACCGCGTTCAGGATAGCGGGCTCTGGTGTTTGCCCCTGCAGCCGCCCCAGCCCAGTCGACAGCCCGGGAACGTATTTATTACCCGAGCAATCCAGGCATCTGTTTCTGGACTACCTGGGATGTAATTAAGCTGGAAACAGATTGACAGAACAGACACTGAGGAGGAGCCTGGGGTGATGGAGAGCTGAGTTTCTAAAACGTCTTGTTTTCTGAAGAGCCAGTGTCCCTCCTGCTAACGTCGCAGTGTAAACCCTTTCTGCCTCTCGCCTCAGTTCTGGACAGCGCGGGTTTGTGATTGAAAAGCCCTTTGTAAATGCATCTTCAAAGGGATTGGGTGTGAAGGCGCCTCGCTAGCCCATCCCACGGGTTTCAAGGAAAGACTCGGGTGTGGCCTGGCTTATCGGCTGCCCGGTTGCAAAGCGGGGGAGCCGTTCGTGTGCTCCTGGGATTGCGCACATCCAGCTCCATGTAGGTCAGCGCACAAGGCACAGAGCAGCAGGCAGCGTGTTGGCACTAGAGGGCTCTGTTATGCCGTGGGAGACTTTCCAGGGCCTGGCCACCACTGGCAGAAGCCTGCAGGCGAAGTCCCTGGGAACTCAGGGGAGGATTGGGGGGCCCTGGGCAAGGTGACCAGGGCACTTTGCAAGATTGGGAGCAGGCATTTGTGCCATGCTGGGGAGAGGGGAGGGGGCTCTTCCCATGCTGGGATGCGTGATTGCAGTGGAGGAGCATCCTCAGGGCTTGTGCCGCCGTCTTCCTGGTGGCTGCACCCTGCACTAGAAACCCCTTCTTGGCATCACATCAGACCGAGGCAGATGGACGCAGCCAGGGCCCCTCTGCCAGCGGCTCCCTGAAGCCATTCGTCCTTCTTGGCACAAAACCCAGAATGAGCCTAATTCAGCTTCACCAGCAATAGGTTCCTCTTCCATTGGTTGCCAGACCAGAGATCTGTTTGGTGGATGCCCACCCCAAGCCAGGGAGAAGGGGAGCACAGGAAAGACCTATTAGTTAGGGCTGGGTCATGTGGCCTGAGCCATCCAGACCCGCACGGCTTGCGAGAGGAGGTCGGGTCCCTTAGCATCCAGCCAGGAGCACCCAGCTCTCAGAGCCGCAGCCTGGCCTGTCCCCTCTCCAGGTCATGCCAGCTCCACGCAACATCGCCACAGTTCTCACACGTCCTGCTTTGCGTTTTCAGATCACTACCACCTTCCCCAAGGATCCAGTTTACACCTTCTCCATTTCGCAAAGCCCGTTCCCCATCGAGAACCACGACGTGCTGGGGGAGACGCAGGTAAGGAGCGGGGAGACGCGTGCGCAGTAGCTGAATGCCCTGTGCAAGTGTGTAGGTTGCTGCCCGCCCCTCGTTTGCCTCTTCCCCTCTGACAGGGCTGGGGCAGGCTGCATGCAGCCCCCTGCGGCCCCTCGTTGCCGGACTGCTGGCGCTCGGAGAGCTTTGGCCGTGTTCTCTGAACTGATCTGAAGAGCCTGAAATGTTTCTTCCGCTGAAAGAGATCCCAGATAGCGCTGAGTGGAGGCAGCTGCTGACCAGCCCGAGCCACATGTGAGCTGGCAAGAAACAGCACAGACCCTGGGTTTTTCTCAAGTAGCAGCATGGGTTTTCTCAGAAAAGGGTCTGTGTGGAAAGGGGCAGGTTCTTTCCGAGGTGGGCCGTGCAGCGCACTCCTGTCCAGTGCCTCCAGCGTCCAGGATCCATGGGGTTTGGAGATGTGGGGAACGCAGCAGTTGCACAGACCCGAAGAGCCCTTTTTTGGGGTTCAGTAAGCCACCATTCAGCTGAACGGCAAAGTCCTGCTTGTTGCTTGGTGGAGCGGCTGACCTCTGGGGTTCTCCTTCCCATCTCTGCAGGATTTCCACAGCCTGGCCACGTACCTGTCCCAGAACACGTCCTCCGTGTTCCTAGACGTCATCTCTGATTTCCACCTGCTCCTCTTCCTGGTCACCAACGAGGTCATGCCTCTGCGGGTAGGTAATGGGAGGGAAGCCATCCTGGCTAACACCCAAAGCACCTAGTGCTTTTAACAAGCGCAGGGTTACAGAGTGGGGCTGAGCTGCCCTGAGCCGGTAACCACAGCCGGACCCTGGTCTGCACAGAGGGAGGAAAGCACTGCCTGGCTGTCACCCTGGGACAGGTTGAGAAAATGCAACTTTATTAGAGGAACTATAGTGGGAAACAGTAGGGCAGGAGGAGCTGTGAGCGCAGGGGCTCTAGCTCGGGCCCGCCTGGTTCTCAGCACCGAGTGGGCGGCCACTGCTAGCACAGGCCCAGGCTGCAGAGAGTGATTTGGCTGCATGAGCTGGAGCTGGAATTGCTGAGAGCTCTCCGGAGCAGAAATTCCTGTCGTGATGATAACGAGATGGGAGCCCCTGATGGCAGCGAGGCCAGCGACTTCCTCACTTTGCAGCTCGGGCTTTATTGGCTTGGCCCCGGGAGCTTGGCAGCGCCCCAGGCCCGGCACTGACATCTGTTCCACGCACTCCTTCGCGCTGGAAACGTTGTGCCATGTGTTTTCCGGAGGCTTCAGGCCCCACGCGGACAGAGCATGTGCAAAGCAGCTGGGCTGCCCATGGGCGGCTGGAGATCAGGGCCAAGCAGAGGGCCTTTGCGTGGCCGGCAGTGATGGCGTCCAAAGAGCAAGGCCCTGCCCAGGTCCCAGCCTCCCTGCCACCCCAGCCTGCAGCAGCCTCCCTCTTACCCAGTCTGCCAGCCCTGCTGCCCAGCTCGGCTCCGTTTGCACCCCAGCGCCTGCTGGTCTGTGCAGGGCTGATGCTGCCACTGCATAGAAGCAGCTTCTGGGCCTGTGTTATAAGCAGAAAGACACAGCGTCCGAGTTTGGGGGGGGGTTGGGGGAGGCGTCCAAGCACTGGAGGGAAGCAGGACTCCTGAAGCCAGCCAGACTCCCCAGGGAGCAGCTTCTTCCAGCCAGGAGCACTCATGGCAGGGTTTGGAGCCCTTCCTTCCTTCCAGCTCATGATGCGTGTAGCTAGGGAGCCTGAGACCCTTAGAAAAGGAGAGCAAGAGGGCGAATAAAGTTGGGTATCAGTTTGGGGGCAGGGGGAGAGGCATGGAGGGGTGTGCTGGGAGCCCTGTGTGGCAAGGCACCGGTGCTAGCGTGCCTGTCCCCACTCCAGGATAGCATCAGCTTGCTGCTGGAGGCTGTGAGGACCAAAAATGAGGAGCTTGCCCAGACGTGGAAGAAATCGGAGCAGTGGGCCACCATCGAGCAGCTCTGCAGTGAGTAGCTACAGCCCCCTCTGTCCTCCTGCCTCAGGCATCGGGCTGGGGAGGGACAGCTAATGTGGTTTGACCAGGGAGGCTGCACAGGGCTCTGAGCTGACTCCTGCCACCTCCGGGGCTCAGCAGGCTGCAGAAAGGCAGAAGCAGCTTGGGGCTGCGCTCAACGGGACGGAGGAGAAGCTCGTTACCCGCAAGGCTGTGGCCTGCTGAGGTGGCTCCCTCAGCCTCTCCAAAGCAGCTGCCTGCCCCCTCTGGGCACTGCCCCCGGGCAGCAGTGGCACAGTGGAGGGGGTTGGAGGCAGGCTGGGCCTGTGGCATGAGGCTGCTGCTTCCTTGGGGCCTCTGGCACTGCCGTGGTGGCCAGGGGCACCTCTGTTGTAGCTGATGCTGGCCGGGCTCAGGCAGTGGCTGCTGTAAGGGGATGGTTTCAGGCTTGTCTGTGGACATGGGCTGGGCTCGCGGGTCCCTTCCAGCTCCGTGTCTTGGTCTTAGTCCATCCAGGCCTGATGTGCAACCCCCCCTCCCCAGCCAGGTGTAACGTGCGGTTCCCTCCCGCAGGCACGGTGGGCGTCCAGCTCTCAGGACTGCACGAGTATGGTGCCGTGGGCAGCTCGCAGCACGCCGCAGCCACGGCCGTGTGGGCCTGCCAGCACTGCACCTTCATGAACCAGCCCGGCACGGATCACTGCGAGATGTGCAGCCTGCCCAGGACCTAGCCCTGCCTCCCGCTGGAGCCAGCCCTCCGTAATGCAGGATTGTTTCTCATGCTACTCCCCCATATCGTCATGCCGCACGGGGCAGGGGGCAGCTGCACCCAGGGGGCTTTGATCTCACAGCCGGGGGCTGCCCAGGGGAAAGGGGTTAGGAGACGGGTTGAACCTACCTGCCCAGTGCAGGGAGCTGACGCTTCCCGTTTCCATCTTCCCCAGAGGGGATATGAGCTCTGTCCCCTGGCACTTCTGCCCCTGCCCCTCTCTGGCTCGCAGGCCTCATTAGGCTGCAGCTGCTTTTCCCTTCCCCTCCAGTTGTGCAAAGGCAGGGGAGTGCTGCAGGGCTGGTGATACAGGGCTGCCCCATTGGCTTGCACGGTATTGGCCCCTGCTTCCAGCAGCCCCAAGCACATGGGGTCAGGGGGGCCGGGGGTGGTGGGACAGCAGGCACAGCTGGGTTTTGCAGGCTGCTATCACGTGCCTGCTGCCCCCCTCACCCCCTGCCCGGCTTTTCTTCCCAGAACCCTGATCCACTTGTGTGCGGGCAGCTCTGCGCCAGAGGCTGGGCCAGAGGGTCGCTGATGGGGCTGTGACCGCAGCCCTTGGCACACGCCAGCCCTGCAGCTTGGAGCCCAGCTGCATAGCCGCAGCTGAAAGCTTTGCCTGTCCCCTACCCATGCGATGGAAAGGTGCTATCGTTGGCACGTAGCTGCTTCTGCTCATCCACCTCCTCCAGGGTAGCACAAGGGGCCTGCTGGGGGGTGCCCATCCCTAGTGCCCAAGCTGGAGGGGGAAGCCGGCTTCTTGGCTAAGCTTGCCACCCAGCACGGGAACAATGCGGGCATAGCAAGTGGCATGTGCCCTCGCGTCCCCTGCTTCCAGCCCCTTGCCTTTGTGCCTGGCACCCTCTATGCAGAACAGGTGCCAACCGCTAGCAAGCAATTGCCACTCATGCCCACTTTGCTGGGGCTGCTGTGTACACAGCTGGAGTCTGAGCATGGGGAAGGGACCCACAAAGCAGAGCTCGGCATCCAGGCAGGAGGGTCCTGGCTGGGGCTGTGGTCTGCTCTTCTCCTGCATCTTGCAGGAGCCCAGGCTCAAAGCTTCCCCTCGGACTCCGAGCTGGGCTTGGGGCTGCAGCCCTCCTAGTGCCCATCACAGCTGCACCAGGGCTGCCCACCCCAAGAGCTGGCCAGTGGCCGGCTGCTCCCAGCTACTGCCCCCCAGCCCTTGGTGGTTCTCTCCTCCATGCTCCTGGCCGCCAGGCCTGCATAGGAGCCACCTCCCTGCTCCCAGAGGCAAGCTGCTGTACGCACTGGGCTCCGCTCCCAGGCTGGGTGTTGGGGTAGACCAGCCTCCCTGCGCTCTCCGCTGCCCCGCAAGACTAGTTCTGGGGTCCCTGTTTACCCAAGCCCCCCACACAAGTCAGGAGGTGTCACCTTCCCCTCCCTCCTCTGCAAGAGCCTGGCCTCAGGGCTGAAGTTTCTGCCCCACGGGGAGAGGGTCGGTTCAAGTGGACCAGCGGCTGCTCCCTGCCCCGTGCATGGACAGGCAGGTGGCTGTCTGTCCATCCGTCCAGCCTGGGGCGCGCGTGCTGCTTAGGGCCCTGGGCTGTAGCTGCTCTTGCTTTTCTCCCATGGTGGTGGGGATGGCGGAGGGGTGCGCCGGATGGGGCTGGGCTTGCTGCCGTCGACTCCCGCAAGTGGAATCCAATAAAGCACCTGGAATGGGAACGGCTGCGTCTGCCCTTTTGTTCTGGGCCCCAGTGCCCACCCGCAGGGAGCAGAGCCCAAGCACCGAGCAGCTGGGCACAGATGAGAGCCCCAGGAGACGCCTTGCCCTGGTTTGTGACCCACCCTCCTGGGTGGATGTGGGGGCTTGGCTGCACTCAAAGCAAGTGCCTGCCCTTGTACCCCCAGCCTTGGGCTACTGTCCAGCCTCGTGGCTCCGTCCACCTGGTGGGAAGGTCGCGGGCCCTGTGCAGGCCCCCAAGCGCAGCCAGGTCCCAGCTCCTGGGGCTGGGGCTGAGGTTCCCAGGTCCAAGGAGACCCACACTGCTGCTGGGGGCTCAGCGGGAGGCGGCCATACCCGAGAGGTCAGAGGTGAGCGGTTGTGTGCGCCAGGTGAGGCATCTTGAGTGCATTAGCCGCCAGGCGGGCCACCACAAGCAAACCTCGCGCGGCTCCTCTGATCTCGACTTCCTGCCTCCCCCAGCCGCAGGGCCAGGTGGGCGCAGGTCCTGACCTGGGGGAGCGGTGCTGGTGGGGAAGGGGACGGTGGGGCGCTGCAGCAGCAGCAATGGCAGGGCCGGGTGCCAGGGAGCTTTGCCAGCCCATCCCGGGGCCAGCAGCTCTGCGGCGCAAGGGCCAAGCCCCGTGGATCCCTGCAGGCTGGAGCTGCCGTGCCGGGACCGAGGCCATAATGCCTCCTGGCATCGCTAGGAGCTGGCTCAAGCTCAGGGCCCTGCTCTGGGCAACCCCAACAGCGACTCCAAGCTGTGCTGTGCCCCAGCACACGGGGCAAGAGCAGAGCTTGGGTGCCAGGTTCCCAGCCCGTGTCCTCCGCGACCCCAGGCCGGAGCCAGCCCTGATGTCAGCCGTGCCGGGGGCAGCTGCCTG